CCTATGTTGAGCCATCTTGGAGGCTATGTTGGGCATATGTTGGGGATCGGTTGGCTATCTTGGGCCTATGTTGGGGATATGTTAGGCGATTTATGTTGAAAAAATCTTCCGATACAACTTTTTACGATTTTTTCCTTCCCGCAAAGCAAAAACCATGAAAAAACCTAGGTTTTTTGACATCGCCAAGATGAAATTCTCGGCTGCCGAGGGGCCCGAAACCCTGTAAAACACAGTGTTTTTTATACCTCACACACACGATACACTGTAAATTACAGGGGCTTCAGTGACCCGGTGGTCCCCCCGTTTTGGTGACGAGGGTCGGCGGCAGCCGGCGCGACCGTCTATAACCTTCGGTTACCACCGAAGGCCCTCCGGGCAGGGCACGGGCTTCGTGGCCGGCGCCCGGATTCCTCCTGAAAAGGGGTCGGCGGCACCCGGGCGAAGCCCTTACAATTAGTATAGTCAGTATAGTCTTAAGATTTGGGTGTGCCTCAAATGGTGGGATGGCTTTAAAGGGTCTCCCCCCTCGTTGAGGCAAAGCCATTCATACCAGGAATTCTAGCCTTGCCATCTCCGGCTATCTCCCTGACATTCCCTTACAACCAGCACATCCACTCGGAAAAAATGAAGATCACCACACCAGCGCACCTATCGCACCTGCACATCCACTCGGAGCCCCCCCGGCGACGTGGCACCTTTTGTTCCACGGAACGCGCTGAACTCGGCCGAGCCGATCTCGGCGACCTCGACCCATTCTCATTTGGTGCCGAGGACTCGATCCAGGTACTGCTTCCCAAGAGCTGGATCGTACCTCGTTCGCAGAGCTGGCCCGTGCGGGGTGTGGGGGGGGCCACCCGACTCAGCCTGTGGAGACGGGGTGTGGGGGGTTTCCCCGCGGAGACGGGCCGCAGAGGACCAAGGGACCAGAGCACCAAGGCACCAGACAATGAAGGGAGCAGAGGACCAAGGGATGAGAGGACCAAGGGACCGGAGGACCAAGGGACCAGGCGACCAAGGAGAGGACCAAGGGACCAAGGGACCAGGACAAAGGGAGCAAAGGACCAAGCGATCAGGGAACCAGCAGGCCAGGACCAAAGGAGTAGGAAACAAATGTTCTATTGATAGGATTCAATTTTCTTTTTGATAGGTATCCCGCGGAGACACTGCAGGGGATTAAGACTTCCGGGTTGTCCAGGCTTGGTGATCATCCAGGCTCCACTGTTGGGGTGCGTGTGTCACCATGTTTATTTCACATACTGTAGAGGTAAAAAAAAAATCCGTTTTTCACATACCATGCTGGCAACAACACGGCAGCGACCCCTGGTCAGTATACAAGTATGCAGCATTACAAGGGCGCCCCTTGTCGGGGTGGTGAATGGATACCCCGAATCACCTCTAAGGGGCCACTATAGGTACTGACTTAAAGGCACACCATGGCACTCCATGGAAAGGGGGCCCTGGTATGTAGTCAGTTCTCATCAGTTCTCGCTAGTACGCAGCTAGCGACACACTAGCACTCACGTGTAAACTCCACTGGTGACCCAAAAGCATGCTCCAATTCAATGCTTAATGAGTAATGAGTGTGTTCAAGCGCAGTCTGGATCGAATCTCTGCAAAAAGATTCTTTCGCAGCTGCGGGGAAACTTGTCTCGTCTCTGTTCCTGAACCCTGCCACAAGTCAAAAGAACACCCACCTAGACCTAGAGCAGCTCCAAGGGGCTTCTGCAGGACGTGGAGCACCACGTCATAGGAATGGTAGACCTCGTGGAGGATGAGGGCCTCAGATGATGGGTCGCAATTGGGAGTACAAAGTGGAGTTTTCTACAAAAACAGGCTCAGGATGGATCAGGGCAAGAAAGGCACAACATCAAGGCACAAGCATGCGCATATGTAGTTTTTTATCATTAATCATTAACCCTTTGATGTGCAGAATTCCTTCAACAGTTCACGACATGTTCTCCGTCCCCGGACTTGTTCAGGGTGACAGCCATGGAAAGACTTGAAGGGGGCGAACTCAAGGCATTCGGAGAGCAAATGTTGCACCACTGCCACACCAGGTGCTGTTCATACTTGGATCTTCCAAATCTGCCAAATCTCCCAAATTGATCCAAATTGGCAGTATTGGATAGTTGAAAAGGCGGGCCACGTCGTTCTTTCGATCCAACGGTGATCCCGTGGTTCGCTCCGTTGTTCCGCCCGGCCGGAGATCGCCCCATCGTTCGATCCGTCGGTGGGGCGAACGAAGCCGACCCGGTGCACAGCGATGCACCGCGTTTCCGAGGAGCGCGAGACGATGTTTTTGGCGTTTTTTTGGGGCGGGCGGGGCGCTGTTTTTCACAGGTGATGTGTCAGTCCGAAGGTTGGGAGGTCATTCTGACCACTATGACACCACCTTGCTGACTTTGGAGATTGAAAGACTGCGATTGGGAATTGGAGTCAGAGCTGGTAAGGGCAAAGGAATGCTGGAGGCTTTGTTGGGAATTGGTTGGGAATTGGTTGGGAATCTGGATCCAAAACAAATCCATACAGAGAACGGATGAGAACGGATGAGAACGGATTCAAAGGACACATGTTTCACATGTCTTCTGGCCTTGTTTTTGTGCTCCAAGGTGGTGCTTTCGAAGAACGACGAACGTGGTTCAAAGTTCAAAGGGACCGGAGGGGGAGTTCACCGGACGTATGTGCAGCGTGCGCGCGTGGTGCATGTGCACAGCCCAAGGCACCAACTTCAGTAGCTTCTCTTGGCTCATTTGAAGTTCCCAAAGGTCCTGGTAAAAACATGTGAAGACTGGATCGGTTTTGGCAGAAGTTCTCTGCGGCAGAAGCTCATCAGCTCATCCAAAAAGCGAAGAGAATTACTTGCCGAAACGCCAAAGCACATTGACATCATACGATGATGTATTAGCGACATATACAGTTACAGTACGGTAATATGTTGAGCTATATGGACTGCAACAGGGCTTGGCTCAAGTTGTTTCCAAGATGTTCAGATTTCTGGGCGCCTGTTTGTCTCTCACCAAATTGTCTCTCACCAGCCACGTTCATTGTCACCCCCTAATTCAGTGCAAAATTGAATTGCAATATATGTTGCATTGGTTCTGACAAGTTCCAACCAAAATCAGCCAAGCAGGAAAATCATTTCATGGGTTCTTTCATCTTCCTTCCGAAGGCTTCCGGACAATCACCACCAGACCCGCTGTAAAAACCTAAAACGGCTCCACCGTGAGTCTCCGCGGGGTCCGCTGAGTCCTTGACATAAACCGCGTCGGCCCAGAGTTGCTGCGAGATCGGCTGCAACGGATTCGCCGCAAAATGCAACGGCTTTAACGGCCTGACACTGCGCAGCCAGTCGTGGCGCAGAGGACAACGTGTGGCGCGGGGCGTCCTCGTTTTGGGAGACCCGAGGAGATGAGCGTTTTGGAAAACGATTTCAGAGGCAAAGAAGCTGTAGGATCTGCGGTGCCACATGGCCAGTGCTTTTTCATGCATGGATCCGGATCCTAGCAGGGTCCAAGGACGCAGAGTTGACTCTTTGAGAGTTTTCCCAAATCGCCCGGGCCGGTCCCGAGTTGATCAGATTCGCTTCACGGCATCGCTTACCCCGTCCGACGACCTCCGACGATCCATCCGTTCTTTTTTGCGTCGGCACACACGATCAATCCAGCGGTTTCCATGCGGGTTCCCGCGGTCTGTAAACGCAGAAGGTGCGAATTGATTACTGTATCCAATTACATGGAAGTGGAAGGTTTTGATCTTAACAGGAAAGAATTGGAATTACATGGTAAGGTGTTGATTGCATGGTCTCTTTTTACTGGTTTTGATCTTAACACTCCTAACGGCACTCTCCCAGTGCCAAGAACGAAGCCTCCACCGTCTGCCCACCACGACCGTCCGCCTTCCGTGGAGCGAGGAGAAGCGATGGAAAACGAAGCCGTTCTGCCGTAGGAACTGATCCACCTGCGGTGAAGGCACGGGCGCCGGTGGAGGAATGGGTTTGGGGGGATGGGAATGATGGGAATGTCAATAGTTCCGAAGCAATGAGGAATTGCGCAACCAATCCCAATGAGGTGGATGTTGCATTCCAAAAAGGGCAACCGTTGATGAGGAATTTTTGTCCGGTCAAAAATAGGTCAAACACAGGTGCAGTATGCTGTTTGGAGACGTTTATCCAATTGTCCCGCCTCCGCAAAAAGGGGCTGACGCTCGTACATCTCCACAAACTCCACCTCAAAGTGGTACGAAGCAGGACACCGTATAGGTCAATTGAAACAAGGCATGGATTTCTGGCTGTGGCGAGCAAAGGACATCGGGGCCCGGGTTTAGATGGTAGTAAAGTAGTATATGTTGTTATTTTGAGGCTATTGGTCACTCATTGTGTTTTGTATTGCTTTGTGCATTGCATGGCTGCTGGTGCAGGAGAAACGAACGCATGAAAGGAACCCATGGCCCAGTGAAATTGAACGATGGCAAGCGATAAAACCAGGGGACTAGATATCTCTACTGGTGTTTGCCGGTTTGCCTCTTTCGTACTGAGAGGCTGGCTCCAACAAAGATGGGGAACCTGCTTTCACTTGATTCCTCTTATGACTCCTCTTATGAGCTCATTCCACCAAACACGGTTGCAGATGTTGCAGGTCCCAAAGGGTGATTGCCTGTGGGAATTCCGGGTTTAGGAACATGGTCAAACGCTGGAGCCCCCAACTTCCAGGTCCAACACGTCCAGCGATCTCCGCACGTCCTCACCCGAGTTCTTCGCCCGCGTCCAATCCGAGTTCTCCGGGTTCTGCGCCTCGGTGTGCAGCACTAAGGTCTCCTCCAAAGCCTTCTGCGCTCCTTTCCTTAGAGTCAGATGTGCTCCTTTTTTTGCCCTGTTTTGTTTCCGTCACTTTCCGAAGTTCCACCTCCAAAACACCCAGAAACTGGGAGATGTTTTTGGTTTCCCCTTGCGATTGCTGGAGGCCATCAAGCACATTCAGACACAGTCTTGCAAAGAATTGGGCCACGGCTCGATAAGATTCGATAAGCCTTAAGCATTGAGCATAAGCCTAAAATTCAAGAACCGATTCAAGTCCCGGCATCAGCACTGCAAGTTCAAATCCTTGCACATCAATCTTCAAATAATCCACTCCTGGCCGTTCCACGGTGCCGTGGAACGGTCCAACTGTGGCGGTGGTGGCGAGTGAACGCTCGCTTGGCGGATCAGGTGGTCGGTCGGGGTGAACGAGAACGGAACACAGCTGGGGTCCGGAACACAGCGACGAGACCTGTGCGACGTATAGATATTACGCGGGTTCGCCGGGTCCTATGATGGTTTCAGGGGATTCTCGTATACGCGAACATCACCCTGAAATACGAGAGGTCTGACTTTCTTTGAGTGATGCCTTTGTTGGATGGCTGAGAGGACTGACTTTCCACTCAACTAGAGGTTGCTTGAAAGTGCGGAAGGACACCCCATCCGCGGGGCGCATGTCCCAACTCGCCGGGACGGTCCCGCGCCTTTGCCGGGGATGTCTCCCAACAAGTCATCCAAACGCCGCGTCTCCATCTCGCTCCGCTCCACGACCGTGGTCACCTCCGCACCAAGGATGGCCCCATGTCACCGCGCGGCTGGAGAAGAGGGCGGGGCGGGGGGAAAGAAGAGGGGCAGCCGGCACGGTGGAGGAGGGGAAGAGGTGCCATTTGTCTTTCTTTAGAGGTGTAGGGAGGAAGACGGAGGAACGGATGGAAGATGTTCGGGGACTGGAGCAAGGGGGGGTTGGAGTTGCTTTTGGGGCCAGCCACCTCACGCATGCGGCGACTCGGCCACGGGGTCCGGGAATGGGGAAGAATCAACCCCAACCAGAATCCAAGAAAACATGGGAAAAACACTCGCCAGCGAAAGAAATGTTAATTGAACATGAATGAACACCCAATGAAGCGGGTTGGTTCATAGAATCGGGGGATAGGAGTACCAACATGTACCAACCCTCCCACAAAACCAGGTCTGCGGCTCTTTAGGTTCTTTTAGACTCATGAAAGATTCAATATGACTCATCCCGGCCCATACCAGCAACCCAGCACCACCAAGCAGCTGACCCTTCACCTTCAACCCATCAGCTGCAGGGCTCACTGCCAGGGCACCTCCTCGAGCTGCACGAAACGTCTCAGCAGCGGTAAGTTGGGCTCCTCGCTTCGTGACGAGGAGGAGAAGCGGGAGAGGGGGGGGTGATCATCTTGATCCCTTGAAAGAAACAGATGTCAAAGGAAGGCCCAATAAAAAAACGGAGAAAAAGTGGATTGAGAGGATATAGATGGCACAGACCCCCAAATATCGGTGGTGCAATGATGGACCCCCATCTAAAGGGCATCATGGGGTCTGTGCCATCGACTTCTTGAAACCACTGTAAAAAATTGTGAAAAAATAGGCGTTCTTTCAAGAAGGATTCTCTTGAGGACTCTTAAGGCCAAGACCGCGGAAAATCTCACCGGATGAAACTGAAGAAAGTCCACCTTGAATGCTCGCAGTCATTCACAGTCTGCCCGCCTTTCACACCGCCAGGGGGGTGTCCTTGAAGTGCTCTATCACTTACCTCCTTCTCTCCACCTACCTTGAATATCTCCTTATTGTTGCAATTAACTGACCAATATATATTGTATATATGTATATATAGTTGTAATAGTATCCGTCCGTCGCTCATCCCATTCTCACTGCCTTCCCCCCCCCTTCTCATCGTCTCGCCCTCCCAGGTTGGCTCCAGCATCGAGCTGGTCATGGCGGCCGAGCACTTCCGGAACTGCCCCGTTTGTCCGTCTCCCAACGCCCAGGGCAGAAACCGGAAGGCCGTGCTCTCGGCGGCGGCGACTGCCGCGCTCGGCTCCGCACTGGCCGAGCCTGAAGACATGCGGGACATGACCCGTTTGTGGCAGTCGCGATTTTCTGGGATTCAGTGAAGTAACAGATGGTGAAACCAACTATACACTATACCAACTACCTATCAACTACCAATAGGGTGACAGCAATGAAACACCATGACTGGCTGAAGAGCCACGGAGGGACTGGCTCTCCGGCCTTCCTCGTCCTTCCGCAAGCCGTTGACCGAGGCATTCAGTCGCTCACACTCCTCTAGAAGCGCTCGCTTCGCGCCGAGAGGTGGTTGGCGCGGGCAAAGCGTGATATCGAAAAAGCATGCCATAGCCATATACCCTATAGGGCCCCAAGTCCAAACCCACCCCAAAGACCTTCTTAGAAGGTGCTTGGAGCCCTATAGGGATAGGCATCCATGGACCTGTCAAACATTGAATACCTCGTAATTTGCTCGTGGACACAACCACCAAAACGACTCCACAACCAGCAAAGAACCTCAACATGGAACTCGGGACTCTGCCAAAGCCAGTCAGTGGTTCCGTGCTTTGGTTGTTTGTGGGGGTGATGTTGGTCTGTAAGGCTAAGGTACCCTAAAGGCTGGCAAGCCTGATGTTCTCCTGAAATGGAATGTGACAAAGGTGTGTTTAAAGAAGGACCCAGCGAGCGCACACCCCAAAAAGTCACACATGTCACATGTGTATGGAAAGAACAACATGATTGCATGTCTTCTTCCTCGTTTCTTTGGCCAGAAGCATCCCAAAACACCGGTCTCTTCATACCTCTGCAAGTCTCCAAACCACATCGGTCGGGCACTTGGTGTCTGGTCGCTTCGGTCGCTGGTCTCCTCGGCGCAGGGCTCAAAGCCGACCACGCTAGCGCAGTGTCCACGCCGCTGCAAGGGCTGCCAGACCTCCTGCACTGCGCAGGAGCGGTTCAGGACTGATGCCAAAGCAGAAGGTAGTGAAGTCTCGCTAGGGGGCTGGGCTCCTGATCCGGACATAAGCCCTACGCAGAGGATGGTGGAACATCATGCCCTGATCTGTCACCAACCGTTAGTTTTGTGGGGAGTGCATTGTGTTTTTGGGATGCAGTGGATGGCGGGTTTCTTGCAATACCCGACATGTAGAATGTTTACCACTGGTTCACACCATCTGCACAATGCACATTCCAAATGTGTCTATATAGTTTTGTTGAACATGCATGGGTGGGCCACAAAAAAACAAAAGGATAGTTGTACTGCAAGCCCTTATGTACTGGAGGAAGCTAGGGGCGTTCAAACGCTAGACTTGACAACTCCACCCCACAACGAGATGCACAACAAAATAGAATTCCATCAAAGCCGTCAAGCCGATTGATGACTTTCCCTCGCCAAAACCTCGCCAAAACCCTCTATGTGTGGATGATTTCCACCAAAAAAACCTCTGAGAATTCTTGGACATTCCTTCGAACCTCGTGGAAACCCAACCCGCCCAGGTGGACCCCGCTTCACCACCCCACGACCAGCTCCCGGCGGAACCCCCGTGGACCGTCCTCCGCCTCGTCCAGGAACATGGCGCCCACGTCGATGACGCGCACCTTGGGCATGGACGAACTGGACACGCCATTCTGCTCCAGGAAGTCCCTGCAGGAAGGGAGGGGAGGAGCAACATAGATCCACCAAATGGAGCAACAGAAGAAGAAGGAAGACGTCCTAAAACAGGCTTCAACATGTCCTTGAAGCAAGCCGTGTTTCTTGTTGGATAGCTGGCGTAAACGTGTCAGGGTTCAAGGAATTCGTCTTGGTCAGTCTGTGTCTGTCTTCCATCCTGTCGAATTCCATCCTCCAGCCCACTGGCTCCACGTCAGGTCCCGCCTCAGCGGGAAGAAGGGCGGCAGATTCCGCGGAGCCGCGCCAGGCACATCCGTCGCCATGCGGAGCGCTCTGAGCGCTCGCGACGGCAGCCGCGCCACGCATTCGGCGGCGGAGAGGCGGCGGTCACGGTCAGATGGGGTGATTCTAAGCAGGCTTCGGATGGAACAAGACATGGGCCATCTTAAGAGGTCAACTGGTGGTCTTTTCTCTCTGGTGGATTTCGGAATCTTGTCTGGGGGTGTGGTTGAGACCCTTTAGCATGAGAGAAAAGCGGGAAAGAAAACCAAGCGGTGCGCCAGCGCTTCGCAACATCAGAAGCTTGAAAGCCTGGACCTTAGTAGCTCAAAGAGGACACAACGGGCTCCAAGTCTGAGTGGTCAAAACGCCCTCCAAGCAAGTTAGACAGTTGTCATCCTCCAGTGGATGTACAACTGCAATAAGAACAAAATCAGTTTTACTTTTTTGTTGATAACCTTGCATTCATGATGGTCATGTTCTTCAACTCAGCTGGAGGGCCCAAAAATGCGTGGCAAAGTGGGCGACCTGGGCTGGGTTCTTTCTTGAAGTCTTAAAGCGAGCACACCGCATGTCACCCGGGGGGTCCTCTTGGCACACCGGGAAGATGAGATCTGAGGCATCAATCAAAGCATCCAGTCAGACTGACAACAAGATGTGAGCCCAAACCATCCAAACCACCATGTATGGCACCAGGGGACCTTTGACATAAATACCAAACCATTGGGCGGTTGAAAAAAAAGCGGCATCTGCCAGTCCCATCCCATCAATGGTGCGATGAAATGGTCAAGGGCGGATTCGGAAACTATGATTCGGAAACTATGATTCGGAAACTATGATTCGGAAACTACGACGTGATTCGGAAACTATGATTCGGAAACTATGATTCGGAAACTACCCTCGGATTCGGAAACTATGATTCGGAAACTACAGTATGATTCGGAAACTATGATTCGGAAACTGCACGTCATTATCACCCCCGCACCCCGTTGCATCTTTATTCCCTCGTAACCCCCCCCCCCCCCCCCCCCCCCCCCGCCCCATCCGCAGGATGAGGCGTTTGGCGTGTTCGTGTTGAATTTGCTTTCACGCGTCCCTTCTGTGAACCTGTGTGTTTGATGCGCTTGTTCAAACCGTAGTTTCGGTGGTGTAGTTTCTGAATCGTAGTTTCTGAATCGTAGTTTCTGAATCGTAGTTTCGCAGGCGTAGTTTCTGAATCGTAGTTTCTGAATCGTAGTTTCTGAATCGTAGTTTCTGAATCGTGGTTTCTGAATCGTAGTTTCTGAATCGTAGTTTCTGAATCGTAGTTGCTGAATCGTAGTTTCTGAATCGTAGTTTCTGAATCTTGGTTTCTGAATCGTAGTTTCTGAATCGTAGTTTCTGAATCGTAGTTTCTGAATCGGAATTTGTTCTGATGAAATTGGGTTCTGCGATGAAGTTGTAGTGAACCGTCTCGTCATTGTGTCGTGAAGGCAACGACCCCTGAGAGAAGGAACATAGACCAGGTCTACCGAGCCAGGGGCGATCGGATGTCTCCATGTTGAAACACCTCACCCATGCTTCTTTCCAGCGGTGCAATTCAGTCCTGTTCCAGCTGTCCTGTCATGTTCCATCCTGTTCGTTTTCGTCCTCTTCGTCCGCTTCCATTCATGATGGAAAGCACAAGTCCTAAGGCTTCTCCAAGCTTTTAAGAGTTCCAAGGGCACAAGATTCCAAGTCCGTACTTGCACTGTAATTAGCATGAATTGAGGTCATTTAATGTACACCATCGATGCGTCCGTCTGGCCCGCCTATGGCCACGTCGTCCACGTGGATGTGGCAGCCTGTCCGGAGCTGCAGCTCCTTGACATTGGCGCCTGGCGTAGGGGCAGCAGTCTCCAAATCCTCCACAGCATCGCAGCTCCAGGCCGGTTGACTGATATACAGCGCCTGATCAAACACAAGGTTGACAGTTAGAGTGAGGGTCCTGAATGAGTCTCTTTGGGCGGCTGTGCTTCCCCAAAACTCACGACTCACGACAGTTCCTCGCATCACTCGCCTTTCACACCAATCAGCGCGCTGATCGAACGAGAAGGCATGACCTGATGGTGCGCCGGCCGGAGGGGAACAGCAGCCCTGCTCGGACTGCTGTTGGAGCCCTTAAATCGGGGAGCCCCCGTCGCATGGGTCGAGTGGGTCGAGGTCGAACTTGGCACACCCGGTATTTTGGTGAAGTGGATCATGGACAACCTTGAAACACTTGGACGTCGTGTGCAGTGAAGAACCTGCAGAAACACGACCTGCAGGTTCTTATGATCGGTTCCACCGGTTCCACCGGCACGTGCACTGGCGAAAGCGCCTGCCATCGGCGCTGGGTCAGGGGAGTCGAAGATGCCATAGGCGGCATAGGCGGGTTGATCCAATTGAAATGGACACCCCCCAGCTTCTACCCCTACAGACTGTTCGACATGAATGTGACACTCAAACTGTTGGCACAATAAATGTTGGAACCAGCCAGTACCTTTGCAGGTGTTCAGCCCAAATTGCCAGGCCAATTTGAGGCTTCCAGATTCCATGATTGACTACACCACGATGTAAGACTCCCGGCACATGTCTCTTTTCATCTGGATGCTTTTTTTCCAGTGAAGCTGCTCCTGCAGCTGCTCCTGCAGGTGGCTCTTTTCTGCACCACTGGGACCCGCTCCCACCGCCCCGCTCCATCCAACGCCGCCGCCGCCGCCCCCGCTCTGGGCGACCCGCGCCACGGCCAGGCGCCGTTCGTCCTCATGGCCGGGCATGACGCACTCAGTGCAGTTGTTCACCATCGCCAGGACCTGGCGCATCGCCATGACCTGAGTGAATCAGGTGGGGTGGGGGTGGTCAGGTGAGTCTGGGGTTTGGTGAGGGAGGGAGAGAGGGAGGAAGAAGTAGTCAGCCGGATGGAGTGAACAGATGAGTTGATAAAGAATATCTGTTGGGAGGCGAGCTATGAGGAGCATCCAACTCTTTGAGGTGGCTGTTGAGTGAGTCAGGTTGACGCTGTCTTGATGAGTTGAGGGGGGTGTTCATTTCCCAGAGATTTTCACAGCTTGAGTGGCACACCATGGTTTGGCAAAGGTGGTGATTCTCCCTACCGTCAAATGAAACCAAACCCCTGTGAGGGTCAAGTCGAGAACCCGAGCTGTTCTGAAGGGCTCGGGCATAACGAAAGCACTGCATGCAGCACTCAGGTACAGACAGGCATACTAGACGTGCCATCGAGGAAATGGCGAGATATCCAACCCTCCCTCCCATCTCCAAACCCAAAAAGAAGTATATAAAGAGGTTATTGAGCACCATGGTGCGCATGGCTCATGGCCCCCGAGGCGTTCGCCACAAAGACGGTGTCCTCGCACCATCGCCCCCCCGCCCGCCGCCCGCCCTCGTCCCTGTGCAGCCGAGCGATGTGTTCCCAACCAGTGGACTCCAGGGTGATCACCTCGGGCAGGACGGGGGCCGCCGAACCGCCCGGTCCCCGACCCCCGGGGCGAAGTGAGGCGGCCACCGGTTTCCCACCGCTTCGCGCATGAAGGGACGTGATGTTTAGCTTGTGATGTAGCGGTGTTTGGTTCTGCAGTCATGGAGTCACCTGGCATGAGAACCCTACACTGCCCACTATGCTCACAAAGGTCTCCAAACAGGAGACCCATTGCAAGCGCAGGGTATTGAAGGTCTTGATGTTGATGGATTCGTTGATAGTTCAGGATGATCCACAGTACTCCGACATGGAGCTGGTGTGTTTAGTTCAATTTAGTTCAGTTGGTGCCCGGTCAATCCTTTCTTGATGCCATACTCAGTACATGAGGATATCCATCATGCGACTGCAAACTGCTCCTTTCCCATGTGACGCAGGGGAACAAAACCCCAAGCTATGGAGGTGAAGGCTCCTTCAGGTCACAACAAGGACGCTACTAGGAGCAAAGGGCATCGCTGCTAGGAGAAAGGACGCTACGAACGGGGCTCCTGGCCATACTACTTACTACTCGTAACAAGAGGATGCTACTTTTTTTGTACCAAAGGCCATGGACCTACATCACGTCTTCAGATACCATCGGTCCCTTGTCCCGCACCGTCGTATGTTCCTTTGTCCTCCTTTTGCATATGTGGGGGTGAGGGACAAAAAAGAACACGATGTTGGAACTATGTTGGGACGTGAAGCTGCAAGGAAGCCCAAGAGTCTTTGGATGTCTTCATGCCACTCTCTGGCTCTCTTTGGGTCTGTTTTCTGCCACTCTCCACGGCCTCTTCAGGCCGTGCCGCGCCTGTTGATCGGTGCCGGGATAGACATCGTCCGGCTCGGTGAGGTGAAGCTTACCTGAAAGGAACGAGGCATGGAGTGGAGTGGCATGAGCCTTCTCAGCCGGCAGCCGGAGTGGCACGGCATGTGAATCACGGCTTTTCCGGAGCGGTGACCAATTGGAGGTTGGAGGTTTTCCTCCAGAGGTCGTCCAGAGGTCGGCGCGGGGGGAGGGGCATGCCATGCGTGTTTGATCCATGAAGTTCAGTCACCTTTAGGCACCCCGGGTTAGGAGTTCGGACACGCTGGGGAGCGTCGCTTGGGCAGGTGATCCACTTTTCCTGCAGGGTAGGCCCGGCTGTCCCAAGTGCTCAAAAGCTACTCCTTACAGCAGCATCCGACCGAGGATTTTGGTGAGGTTTTTGGGATAAATAAAGGTACTGCGGTAGTGCGATTCTTCAGTTGGGATGTTACATCTTCGGGTCCTTCCTTTAAACAAATAGGTCTGCTTCCTGGCAAGGCCGGACACCACATCTTGGGAGCTGAGCTTGGCTATCTTCAAGGCTCAACGCGCCCAACCCGTCCAGCCCGTCAGCGCCGGCGCGCGCGCCGGTTTTGTCGCGGGGCGGTGCGCAGCGCGCGCACCTTGAGCGGCATGCTCGATCACCCCGCGGCTGAACCTCGCGAAGCAGACTTGCCAGGAGACCTACTAGGACCAATCCTTCGGAGTCAACACCTGGTCCTGACAAGCTCATTGAGTATAAGTAATTACTTGAAGATGATGCTGGTAGAATGAGGTCTTTGACCTGTAGGCATCCAAGAAACATGGAACGCCCCGACAGGGAGATGGTGAGCCAGGGCCGAGCCAGGGCCGTGCCATCGCCTCTTCTGCCGAAAGACGAAGTCGCTAGGCTTCCAACGGGTGATGTTCCTAAATCGTGTGGGTGTTCGTGCAGCACGCGGAACCGCGAAAACGGTGGCAAAACGGTGTTCGAACACATCGGGGGACCAGGATGCCCTATTTGGGACGTTCTCAGCTGAAAAAGCTCAAAATGGTGCCACGAAAAGGCCCCAACTGGACCTTTTGGCACTGGGCCCTCTCACTGGATGGTGCTGGCCAGGGTCTTGGGCGCCAGGAGTTTAAACGTCGGCGTGCACAGTTCCCCCTCCTGAACGGCTTCAGCGGCCGCGCGTCGCGCGGGGTGTCCGGGGCCAGGGTTGAGCATGTTTGAAGGGGTAGAAGGCCGACTGTGTCTTGGAGCGTTTGGACTGTGTCTTTCGTTCCCCTCCGCCGGGGAGTTCGGATGAAACTGCTGGAGCTTTTCTGAAGAAGGTTGAGATGGACTTGTGGAAGAAAGCTTTTTGCGTGGAGAGAAGTTCAGCAAAAGAAAGTACTGTAGCCCTTTCACTGTCAATTAATATAAAGCAATGTACTTTGGGCGATTCTCAGTGTCCTTGTCCAGGAGACCTTGAAAGTACATGGAATTCAATTTGGCATCAACTAGCACACGGCTCATTGTGCAAGATTGGAAAGGACATATTATATAGAACTGTGAAATGTGCACAACACGAAAAACAGATCCATTAAGAACCAATCCAGTGAAGGACCCAAGAATGTTTATGGACAATTATGTTACCTGTTATTACGGCAAAGTGAATGGAGTTTTAATTGCAACACCCAGCCAGCTGCTCTTTTCCAACAAATCACCCCTCAAAAAAAGAAAACCAATAAACTCAATAAACTATAAAACATTATATATATATATATATGTCTCCCAGCCGCCCAGGCCAACACACATCTGGAATCCCCACTCTCTCCTCTCGACGTGCACGTTTCTCTTCACCTCCTTCATCCCTAAGGGGCCTCTTGAGCATCCTGGAGGGCGGGCACTGGCGTGGCCCTAAAACCGGGCCAAATCAAATTGGGCACCAAAAGTTGTATTCCACCATATTCCACTTGTTCCAGCACCCTAATCGCATCTTTGTAAGCGCAACACCGAAGTAAAGACAGCCATCGAAGCATGTTTCTGAACCGTGTCTCGCCCACACACGCAAGAAGCGGTTCACTGGTTTCGACTCGTGTCTGCTACGAGTAATGCGGCACTGTTCTTCAAGTGGATATGAGTTCTGGGAAAGGGGTCTGGCCTTGATCCCAGTTCTCACAAGTGACATAGAAGACTCGAGGGAGAGAGGCTTAAGGCCGGAAAACTGTCGCTCTCTCTCTCTCTCTCTGTCTGTCTCTCCATCTCTCTCTGTCTGCCATGGCCAGGGTCCGTCTTGGGCTATCTTCTGCTTGGGGCAAATCGGACGAACTCACCAAGGCGCAGAAATCTCCCATCTTTCCCCACTTGACTTTTTATATTCTCTCACTCGCTCAAACTTCGAGCAGAACATCACTTTTTTGACCTAAACCGTGCTTCTTTCACACATGTGCTTCCAAACTCCCCGTACCTCAGCCAAATTGCTTCCCTTTTGTCCAGGAGGATGGGTCTGTTCTGGTTTGCTTCCTACACCACACCGCCACACCCATCCCACGCCCCACAAGCACTTGGCGGGAAAAAAGGACACGTGCCTCTGCTGGGCATAAAAACGCCTCCCCCCCTCAGAGCACCGACGAGAGTGCTGGGGGAGAAACGGAGAAACAGAGTGGAAGTAAGGAAGTACTGTGAACAAGCAACCGTTGCAGTAAAACTGCACGTGATGTGACAGGAATTGGGCAATAAAAGGCTAGATTTGGGTGTGAAAGCCGGCGATAAGAGCCATAAAGACCTTCAAAAAAGGGAGGGCCTCATGCTATGAATGGATACTTCGGAATGCGGCACTTCGAGGGTCGCGAATGCAAACCAACCCGGCATTTGGACATCGAAAGGACCCGCCCTGCAGCTTTGGACTTTGATTCGGTGCCTTACCCGAGATCACCAAGCCCCCACACACTCGGCGTAACATCCTGTGCCCTCTATCACGCCCGAGCTCGGCGCGCTAGAACTCTCGTCTGTTTTCGAGCCGAAAACAGGAGGGCGGAGCATGGCGGAGCCGTTTTGGTGGCCGAGTATGCGTTCACAGCTCTAAAGCATTCCAATGTTACGTCTTTTCTCACCAGTTCCACCACTAGTTCCAAGCATTCCGCCCCCTTGCAGTGGTAGATGGTTGTAGTGTCACGAACGTCCATCTCTCAATAGGCCAAGTGGATGATATGCTCTCTCAGTAACTGGCGGAGTCCACAGGGCCGCCCCTGAAACCACGGCCTGCGACCGCGATGCGACTCGTTCAACCCTCTGGTTGGAGGAGTAAGTGTGGTCACTGCACTCATCTCGATGCTAGTATTTGTTTGGATTGCTTGTGATTGCTTTAAGGTCCCCCAATGGGGTGCAAAGAGTACCCCCCCCACAGAACTGTGACCCAGTGTCCTAGAGGCTGATTTGCACCTGGTAGTGAAATTAGTTGTCCACATCCAACATATCTGAAATAGATGTTCAACTTTGGTCAGGGCACCGGCACAGGTAGGACTTCGGCACGGACGATGGACGAGGCTGGACGACCAGCACGGCGCATCCGTTTTCCGGGGGAACGACTCCTCTTTGAGTGTCCGAACATCAGACCTGCCACCCTCAGGCCGCTTCCAAGATCTGGCAAGGTCTGCAAGGTCTGTTGGTTGGTTGGCGGAAATGGCCACTGCAACAGCTCCCGGTCTCAGGGATGACTGCGGAGAGGTGATTTACTTAGGATTGCTGTTGTCATCCAAAAAGGAGTAATTAATCACTTGGGGCATTGTCAGAACTGGAGAACAAAGGAAACATACTATATAACCACTAGAGAGATCGTAGGCAGAACCCTCCCATCTTGGAAGCATGAGGGTTCCTATTCTTAGGCCACCAGCATCAAAAGACCTTGTGTGTGGCCTCCAGCTGGCACGGACACGCTGAGATGATGCCTCTCTCTAGGTCCAAGCAATGGAATCCACCGCTAATTAGCCGTGTTTTTGTAAGACCTTCTTTATCTTTTTGGTGTATCTTTGTGTTTCGTTTTGCTCCATCGACTCCATCGTCTTCGGTCCTATTTCATGGGCTGGATTCATTGATGCTTATTCTATGAATGAGTTCAAGGAGTATGTCTTTCCGAACGTTCCGTCTCTGCATCTCCATGCCCGCCAGCAGTTAAAACCAAGAGGAAACCGCTCAGACCATGCGCGCGGCCGGCGTTTTGCTTGAAGCATTCACGGCTGTAAAGCTGGAGAGAGACGGGTCCTGGCACGACGCCCGCATTGGACACGTCACACCCAGGAAGTTGCCCAGATTGGAGCACTACAAGCACCCCAAAATGCAGAAAGGTGCTGCTCCCCTTTTTTAAGGCTCCGGCTAGGGTTTTGGAAGGAAGTGCCAAGTCAGGGACCCGTTGTGCTGTAGTCGATGGTCGGCAAGCACCACAACGTACCGGACTAAACTGTTCACAATATGGGTGCAACTAAACTGTAAACGCCGTAGACGCCGTAGACTTAGACCAAGGCAAAGTCTGCGGATCATTACTAAGGTTGACCGTATCTTTTTATAAAAAAAGTCTTTGCAGAAACTCATTCCACATCCGAATCTCGATCTTGATAAATATTGATACTAATAAATCACGTAACATGCAGTGCATGAGGCCATTCAAACACAAAAACACAAAGAGTAGTAGGAGAGTTGTCCAGTGCTGTCTCCAGTGCTCTCTCCAGTGCTCCTGGTTGATCTCGTAGATCATGGCGCCTACGGCCCAATCGATGGGCTTGCCGCCATGCGTGGACTTGAATGTGATCTGGTTTTCCTGCCGCATCGAAAACATGGTGAGTGTGGTCACCAACCTCACAGCACAGCAGACTCCTTTAGCTCATAGCCATAGTGCAGCAAGGTGTAAGCAAAGGTCGCATGGAAACAGAGATGTGTCCGCACGTACTCATCCTTGGCTGCTGGCTGTTCGCCACACACGGCCACGGCGGGTCAAGTGCTTCTGTCAGGTGCACCAGGTGCAGCCCCACGTTGAGTCACCAAACAGTCAATAGACTCAATAGAACTTTTGTCTATCATGATCTATTGAAAAAGGAAAAAGGAACACAATCAATATCTCTAACTACAACCATGGGGAATGGGGACTGGTTTTTCGTTGTAGTTCTCGGAGGTGCCATGTAACCATGCATGTCCCAAGACCCTCTCCGGTACAACTGTCCAAGTCACAGTCACACGCGCGAAGAGCATCTCCAGCTGTCGCATAGTCAGCGAGCAAACGTAGCGGGTGGCCGTTTTCAAGTCCTAAAAACAGGCGACTGGGTCCCTCAAATTCAGCTCTGTCTCTCCACTTGGTTGTTCCCACCATGAGTGGTATAGAGTGTATAATCAATATTAATGTATAGCAGCACATCACAGCACATTATTCAGAAATCAAGGCGACTAAATTCAACCAACTTCTCCCTAACCTCCTTGCTGCCTCAACTAGTTCAACACACACTCCAACATGACCCACCATCCACTCGTGCATGCTCCCATGTGCTCTTTACTATATAATTTGCGTCCTCCAACTGTGCATCCGCTGGGAGCCCCAAGTCATTCACAATCTCCGCGAAGTGAGCCTCAATCCCAGGAATCCAGGATGGACAGGGGGTGCTTCGAAACTGTCGATCGCAACAAGTTCTGTTCTGTCGCAACAAGCCGACAAAAAGAAGGAGACCTAGCCACCAAATCGATGTGTCTTGCGCACCACCGGTTCCGGATCCGGCTTGGGCGGCCGGGCAAAGGCCAAAAAGGGCACGGCATAGACCCGCGGTTGGTAGACGCCGTAGAAGGAACCTTGGAGCATCTAAGAGCCAACAAAGGTCGCCATCGCCATCTTGGCTGAGTGAAGACTAGAAAGCTGGTTGGTGCTTTTAAGTATGTTTAACTTAATCATATACTTCAAAAATATGAGTCAGTGACAGTGATTTCAAACATCCCAAGAACATAGAAAACCTAAGCTCTCTGAAACCAGCACCTCAATGGTAAAACGGTAACTCCAGAACATCGCCTTGAGAGATGGGCCGGTCCACTTCGAGGGCATCCGCGTTCCGGCGCGTTCCGCAAGCGTTGCGCCGACAGGTGCTGCACCACAGGGTCGACTCAGCCCCCGGAGAAAGCAGAAGAGTGAAAGACTTTGAGTTTCAAGGGCGGCCGGACACATCATGGCCATATATGGCTGGTTTTCTTTCATGGCAGGAGACCTTTTGGTTGAGCTACCTGGAAAGTGAAGCTACATGGTGGACGCCATGGCTTCAGGTTATACATATACCATTAAAGTATATTATATTTATACTGTATACCCAGGCATGGCCACATCCTGGCGCCCCCAAACTCAGCCAAGAGGCAGCGCTCAATGAGGCAGGGTGCATCTTTGTTGAAGATTCGCTTCCTCACTGATCGACAGCCCAAGGATCAAAGGCGGGTCAAACCATGCAGCTTGAACATGGAAACTCATGTTGGAGCTCATCTTTGAGAGCACCACCCGATATTTGCTGAGCAATGTGATCCCTCCATACTTCGAAAAAAAAACCGCTTGAACATGCTTCGCCTTTCCTCGATCGCTGGGAGGGTGTCCGAAAAAAAGGCCGGCGAGATGCCTGCAAGGACAGAACCAATACCTGGCTGACCTTTCTCCCTCGCAAGGAATGTCGTGAACCGTTTCGCCAAGCTTCACCAAGTCCTCACAGCCCTGGAAGTCGCTCGTGCCATTCATCTTCACCTAGCCAGGGTGAAAACTGGCCCCGGTTTGATTTGGAGGTGTCGAGTTGAAATCCTCATGTGTCTCTCTGACTCTCTCTCTCTCTCTCTCTCCAACAGCCATTCGGCTCATGCGGAGCTGCGGCGCAGCAGTGCGTGTGGAGGAGAAAGGAAGCGGGCATTTTCCCACAAACCAGCTTCTTCTTAACCAGAAAACCCGGCAAAATTCAAAGAAGCTGGCTTGCCATTCCTTCCTCCTTCTTTCCGAAGGCCTTCTTGGGCGGCGGGCCCTTCTCAGAATCCAGAGAGGGAAGAAAGAACACAAACCTCTTCTCCAAAATCGACTTCCACCTCCACCCAGAGTGGGCTGAGTGGTCCCTCCCACCTCCACTAATCGGGCCTGAATGGGTGCGAAGGTCTCTCCGCTGTACGAGAACATGGGCGTGTAGATGTAGCCTCCGTCCAGTGGAGAGGCTTAACTGAACTGAGTCCCGGTCTCTCCGAAAAAAGCGGCAAAAAACATGAGGATCTCCAAGTCCTGCAAGAGAAGCGTCAGTATTGATAGTAGTGAGTCATGCAAAGAATGGAAAAGGGTCAAATATTCACTAAAGCAAGCTACAAGAACGGGTGGTGTGTCTCTGATGAGCCGCCTTTCGCGAAGCAGGGATGGCTCACGGTGGTCTCCTCGCATCAAACGATGGAGCGAAGCACCATGACTGTCACATTCCTAACAGGGCATCTTCTCTCCAGACACTCAGCTGACCAATTTGCCATGTCTAGGACCTAAATGGACCTAGACCTAGTCCTAATGTGAAAAGGAACAATGGCAGGAACAATGGCCCGATTTCCGTTCAGGTTTGTCTCCGCAACGTGAAGATACCTTAACGCTCCCAAAATCATCTCAGGCGAACCTGTGGGGGCACGTTCTTCCCCCGCAACTCGAGCTTTTGGCAGGATTTGCAGATATTACAACCTCCAAAACCAAGAAACGAATTCTATCTAATTATAACTTATGTCAAGCCTGAAGATCAGAAAGGGATAGAAAGCAAATGCACAGACTTCGTTGGGTAGGTGTTCCTCCGGAAAAAGCACAAAAGTGGGCTCACCAAACCCCCAAGGACACCATCCCGCCGTGGGCCGCCGGTGCGCTCCGATTGCACCGCCAGGAGCGCATCGGAGATGACCGTGCTGGCCGTGCGGTGCGCCGCCTGCGACGAGCGCGAAGGCCGAGGAGGCACACGGCGAAGGCCGATGCTTCGTCACCTGGAAATACCGGTGGGGTGAATGTGGTAGTTGTCCACCAACTTCAAAGAGCACGTGTGTACAAGGTCAGTCAACATAGGACAGTTCAAGCAATAGCTGCCGGTCGACCATGGGCCGAAACAATTCCGCAGCCGGCCGCAGGCGTTGCGCCAGCGCCTCGCGCTGCCCGAAGTGAAGGAAGGAGTAGGAATACACCTGCACCCGATGAGGGCCTCGGTTTTTCCAACCCGCGCCCCCCGAGGCTGACCAAACCGGTGGCTTCGGAGGTGAGGGACCTTGTGCACCTGGAGGTCAGCAGCGTTCGACCTGAAAAGATGGACCAAATCCTGCACCACTTTGCGCACACTTTTCTTGCTGCCCTCGTTCTCCCTCGTTAACACATGAACATTGGGGCCACCACAGTGAGAAAACAAAAACAAGTTGAAGGTCCAAAATCCTGCACCACCTCCTCAGAGGGGTCGCGCCAACATTGAATGAGGGGGCGCGGTTTGCGGGGAGCCAGCCATGCGACCCGAAGCAGGGGAGAGAAGTGGTGAGGTGGTGAGTGGTATTGGTCCATCAACAGTATGGGTATAGTGCTTCTCAACCGTCTTGCAGCTCAGAGTGGTGACATCCAGAACTTTGGAGCCTGAAGAGGATCCGAGCCAAGTACTTGAGCCAGCAGGGTAGTACTGCTTCAGGCCCATTGGGATTGAAGAAGACCCTGGACATGACTTGAACATTAGTGGTGTCAGAGTAGATGGCACAACCACCCAAACATCTTTCAGATGGGAGTCCTAATATATAAACCTCCTTTTGGGGGGATTGTGCCATCTACTCTGAAACCCACTTTGGTTGTATATCACAAAAATGAATCCCATTCAGGGCCCTGCCATCCACGTGACGTAGCCATGATATTCCAGGGTTTGAGGGGGAGAAACCGACATTGGCCAGCTAGTCTATGTGTTATGTTCAAGTCTTCCCCCCCCCAAAAAAGAAAAACTCCATGAAGCAAAAAGTATTGAGGGCCAGCTGAGGGGGATCGACGTTTCGCGAGAGAGTTTTTTGTCATTGATGGCAGTTGTGCGGGTCGGTGTGTTTCTTCTTGGGCAATGATCCCTTGAGTTCGAAGCTGCATAACCTGCCCAGGTGTTAGGTGTTCGAAGCTGCTTCTCAGTTGAATGGGTCATGTGTCGCATCTATCCGCAACTCTAAAGACCGAATGTACGTAACACCATGACGTCCGGGAGTGCTTGTGAAGCATCAGACAGACCCTTTTTTCGGGGCCGCTCCCCTTTGACCTGGCTCTCCGAGGCACCTAAATGAAGCGGGAAGGCATGCTGGATGGTAGACTTCTGCGGCATGAAGACGATTTGTGTCTCAGAAGCCGTCGCTTCGGAAGCATTCGGAAGCTCCCCAGGGAGAAAAACGACTCCCATTTGATGTCACAAAGACCCTGGCACAGGAACAAAAGAAGCTGAATGGATCGATGTTTTTATGACTATGTCATGCATAAACCATTAGACTCAAGGGAGTGGAGAAGGGATTCACCGCGAGGTTTTGGAAAGTCGATTTCCAGAACTGCTGTGGATAACACACCGGTGACCCAGTCCAGCCACAGACAGCCACGGTAGACGGATTGCAAGCTCCATCCGAAAAATAATAGGGCATGATCAAGTCGAAACCCCTTTGACTCCGGTTGTGGTGTCTGTGTGGTTTTCGCTGGGCTCTTCGGTGAGTTTTTTGCCTTTTTCAAGTGCATCGCGAGAAATGGCACCCTCGTTCAACCCATGGTATATACCCAAGGTGAACAAGAAGTGATTCTGCGAGCCAGAAGTCTTGTTGTTTTTCGAGAGCGTGAAAGAGCATAAGCTGATTGTACTGTAGTTGCTTTAACACCGGGGGCAACTACACAATCAAACACGCTAAAGCATGGAGTATTGTCTCCAGCTCGGGACCGTTCTTCCCTAGTTCTTGAATGCTGGCGAGTTCGGTGGCTGCTTCATGGCCTGACAGCACTAGATTGGCTGATCCTATCAGGTCCAGCGTGCTGACTTGCGAACTCTAAGGAGCTGAAGCTGATTCAGGACCTGGGTACTGACCTGGGTCCCTGTTGCCTTTCCAGACTGATGCGCACATCGCAGTGAGCGCCGTCTTCACCCTTAAGGAATTCGATCGGGATCCTGTGCGACGCAGTCTGCGACAATATCGCTTGGCTTTCGCTGGGCGGCGACGTCGTTTGGCACAAAAAAAAAGCGGCGATCCACACGGCGACGGTCTGAACTGCCCAAACTAATCCAAGCAAAGAAGTGAAAAAAAGTGAACTGATGTGAACTGCGTTTTTTTTTCATGGCTTCATTGACGATCCCTCGATTTCGACGATTCTTCAGACATTAGGTTCAATTCCTTGGGGTATAATATGTTCTTGCGATATGGCTCAAGTCCCATCATCGTCTTAAAGCATGTCTTAACCCGAGGTTTTCCAAATGATCAGCTGAGAGCTTAACTTTAGTTCATCGAAGTGCTTAGTCAACTAGAATCCTACCCTCCACGTGGTTGATCCTACGAACGTATGCCGCCCCGACAATTTCTTCGGTCCCAGCGACAGAGGCACCACCGAGGTCCAGCGAGCCCACCGTGCTGTGGGAGCTGGGCACCTCCGGCTGAGCTCGGCTGGGAAGGCGGCGAACGCCCCAGCAGAGAACTAGTGAACGGTCCAGAGTCTACTAAACGATGAGATTTATATCGGCTTTCAGAAAAGAAAAGGCACGTCGAAACGGCGGCGTGTGGTAGCAGGTCATTCTACGTAGGCTTGGCATCAACTGGCACGAGTCTGGCTCTCGCGCTCTCCGCGTGTGGCACCTCGTCTGGCTTGAGGTTGCCCATCAAATAGTTCCTTGAAAGGGAACACAGAGCCAACTCTCTGATCAATCGAAAAAGCACGACCTGTTGACCCTGCCGTTTTGTGTCTAACGAAGGTTTAAAAATAAACACCCAACCGATCGAAGAAACCCGTCCGACACGAATTCGTTCAGTCTTTGGGGCATTGGGACCTAAAAAAGACCCTATGGATCCACGACATAAACCTCAGAAGGTAATTGGACCCTCCATCCCGCCTACAGTCTCCTTCCTCACCGTACCGACCAGGTTCGGTGGCAGTGGATCCATAGGGAGAGGGCATGTCTTTCATAAATCACCCCCTCAGTCTCTCTCATCTCTCGTCTTTTGGGGCCCCCAGACGCAGAGATCCACCCAAAGACGCCCTCCTCCTTGCCGGACGCGGCGATGATCCCATCGAGGGATGCGCACGCGGGCATGGTCCGAGGCTGCAAACCAAGAAAAACCACGGTCCGGTGAAAACCCTTCAAATCCTTCTAACATCACTGCTCACTAGACAGGAGGTCTTGCGAGGTGTGAAGATGCATCTCCAGTTCCATGCCCTCGCGACCCCGCTGGCAGTCTTGCTTGTCAGTTCGTACATTTTATATATAATTATGCAGCTTCTTCAAATTTGCATCACCCCAACCCCACTGAATCGCACAGTTTCCCGAATGTGCAGTGGCTACCTCCCATGCCAACCCGTCCTCTCCAGTGGCTACTGAGGCCATGTCATCGCCTAGCTTGGGGCAAAAACACGGGCAGATTTGGAGGGGCCTGTGCAAATGGTATAATTCTGCAGTGGACAAACATCGGAATCCCCACATTGCAAACTTGACTCCCCCAAATCGGATCAAAAGTGGATCCTGCTCGGAGGCATGAACGACGATCCCGCGACACTTTGGCCCTTCGGGCGGGCCGCGTCTTGGGCTTGGCCGTGACAACCGACAACATGCGATGACAACCATTTGTGAGGTAAAAGGGGTCGGCCTCATTCGCGCGTGCCAACGCTGCCCCTTGCCCCCACTCTCTTTTCGGCAAAAGGCGGAATAGGAAGGGCAGGGTCCGAAAGTAGGTCCGGATGTTTTCCTCAAAGCAGGGCGCAGGGCAGGATAAACACATAGGAGGATTTGCAGGAAATCAAAACACACATCTCTGAGGCAAAATCAGTTCAATGATGGAACCCCTGGGTGGTTTTGGCTGAGATGAAGTTCATGTGTGGACATGAAAATTTCATGTGTGGACATGTGTGTGTGTGTGTGGTGAGTTCCAGCGGAGTTCAGACCTTGGCCTCCAAGGCAATCAGAAGGACAATCGAACCAGGAGATCCACTTTCTGGGTGCCTGATGGTGCTTAGTGGGAATTGGTTGGACCATAATAAGGCGCGTAAGGTACTTGGCTGGAAACATGTCCTAAATTTCACTGGTACCAGTGCTTGGGATCCTGGCCAGTGCCCTGGAATGCTCAGTTTGTGATCTTCGGTGGGATCTATTGATGATGTGGCTCCACCATGGATAGGGAAACTCTCAACTCTCTCAACCTACTACGGCCCAGGCGTCTCAAACCTGGCCCGGCCAGGCTCAGAAGTACCCTCTGCACAGCCACTGCACCAGGCGTCTAGGATGCTCTCGCGCTCATCCGGGAAAAGCAAACGCATCCCAGCGGTTGCGCGGAGGAAGAGGGGGATCTCCCCCCCAGCGGTGGCGCTCCTGACGTCTTTTGGTGGTTGATGAAAGGGTGAGACAGGAGCTGCAGCTCTCATCGAACTCCGAAAGCTCAAGACTCAAACCTTAGACTGATAGTCTCCATCTTCAAGCCCGCTCCCCACACCATCCCATCCAACCGCTCCGCTCCGCCGCTCCACCGCTCCGCCCCGCTCCACCGCGCCTCGTGCAGCGTCTTCCGCGCGAAGCGGATCAACGGCTCCAGCGAGGCGCCGGCCGCCGCGGGCGTCAGCGCGAAGCTGGCGACGCCCGGCGCGATGCCTCACGGGCTGGGGGGGCGGCTGGCGCACGGCGCAAGAACGGTGGGGAGGGGAGGGGAGGGGCCAAGGCTCGGTGAATGGAGCCTTCCAAGGCTCGAAGTCTTCCATTTTCCATCGGGCTCCGAGCTCGTTCCTTAGGAGCCGTTCCTGTGGAGCTGGAGCTCCGTTCTGATTCAGGAAGCGAAGAGTGAATCAGCTGCTTGTTTTCCCCAAAAAACATGGCTGGCTATCGGGTGCATGCTCGACGTAACATTAGCCGGTCCTCAACAGCTACAGACTGACTGACTGACTGACAAAAGGGTCGTCCTGCTAATGTGATGCACCAGTCTTCTACCAATTCAATATGTTCCAATTCAATCCATCCATCATCTGTTGAACCGTTCTTTGTTGATCTGCGATTTGTTAGTCTTGCAAGAGCTTTCACCCAACCCCTACATCCCCTAACTCAACACCTATAGCTATCCGAATCCCCTCCGAACCGAAACCCAAACGCTCGTCGTTCCTCTGTCTAACGGTCAACGGTCCAAAGGGGCTGGAGTCGCCCACCACCTCGGGGCAAATGATTTCGCCTCATAGGCGCGCACGCGGGGACCGTCGGACCGTCGGAGGGGGAGAAACGAAGAGGCCGAAGAGGGGCGAAAGCACGGCGGTGGGGACCGTGATGAAGGGTTCAGTGGACCTATGGAGAATGGTTCAGTGTGGCCCTGGATCCATGGAGAAAACCCGGACAAAAACTGCTTGTATAGTCCTGGTTCAGGTCTCGACCCAATGCGAATCTCGATGACAAAAGTCACGCCCGCCGGCCACCTGAAAAACTTGGAAGAAAACCGGAAAAATGGGCGGTGAAAGGCCCCCTTCCACGGTCAGTCAGTCCGTTCCGCTGCAAAAGTCCATTCAGTCAGGGTCTTTCCCGACGTCAGTCTCCGGGAGATGCGTTGGAATAACAGGGGTGGCCTCCAACCTACTAGCAATGGCAATAGCTTGAAAAATGACCTCCTCGAACCACAGAGCCATGTGGCTTTCAGGGCGTGGGGACGGGCGCCAGCGCATCACGTAGATGCGGGAGCCCTCGCTACCTGGAGCATCGGACGCAGCGCGCGGGAGCGTGGCGTGGAGGGAGGAGACCCCTAGGCCCTAGGAGATCAAAGCTTCGGAGAGTGTTCTTTGGAGCAAGATGTGCCAAGCTGGTCTGTGGGCGCTTTCGATATCAACAATTACAAGGCCCGGATCAAGGAAAAAGAACACCAACCCGCCATCCATGCATCGCGCATCGCGTTGGGCATCGCGTTGCTTCGGGGCCTCCATCGATGAAGGAGCCTCGCTCGCTCTGGGGCGTGTCCAGGACCCGGACTTTCAGAAATCCATCCATGTCCTGCCTATGAACTGGTCGTGATCTCATAGCTTTCTTGATTGGGAATGATGAAGGACTGACCGTCATGCCTACAGGTATGCGGCATACCCCCCCAAACAAAAAAAAAAAAAAACATACCCCAGCCGGCTTTGAACTGGACAAAATTTCTCTTGCCTGAGCCCACACTTGCACAAGGCTTTCCGTCTGCACATGTGTGTGCACAAGGCCCGTCTGCACTGAGCTCTGAGTTCCTGTGTTCAACTTTGCCCTGCTACTGCTCAATACACACCCAGCACTGGCCCGGGAATTACGACCTTTCTTCACCCAGCACTACCCACTACTGCTTCGCCCATTTCCTCCTCTTCGGTCGCACTCAGCTCGGCACCGAAGCGCCAGCCGGAGGCCGAGCCCTCGGGACGTTGGTTTACCCGTCCCACCGAAACCAACCGGTCTCCGATGGCTGGAGGCTTTTGGCCATGCAACGTCGACAAGTCGACCAGTTACGGTTCATTCGATTCGTTTTGTGGGCAGAAGGGGTTGCATTCTCCAACAAACCCGTTCAATACGACCAAGGTCAACTCCAGTGGCGTAGTCACATTTAGTCACTTGATGAAGAGGCAAAAAAGGACAGGCATAGGGAGATAGAATCTTTTAATTTCTGGCTAGGGATTGGATGGGGTTGGTTATTGTATCTTGCTTGGACAGTCTTGGACCCTTCCTCACCCAAAAAAGGCTACAAACACGCACCCACTAGTCACAAGCTCTCCCAAAACATGTCGCCTTTGATGTCCAAGGATTTCCGCCCAATGGATGTCCGGGATTTCCGGCTGTTGCTGTGCGTTCCTTTGCTGCGCTGGAACTCATCTTAGGAGCAAAGACGCGACTCTAAGGGCTCCTGGCCGTACTGGTCATGAAAACGACCGTCCTCGGGCGCGATGTCTCACGACGGCGCTCGACCCCTTCGACCCTCACCTGGGCGAGGTGAGAGTGAGAGACAAGCAAGTGAACGTAAAGCAGCAGCATTGGCATGGCGCCGGACCGTTCACCAATCCTTCAAAGGCCAATCTAAAAGGCTATGAAGAGGTGTGACCTTCTCAATCATGATTTCATCTCCTACAAGTAGCTATCCGTGGAAGGCTTCAATGCGCTTATTCAGTGGAATAGTTAAGCGAAAGGAGTTGAGATTACCTTTGAATCAGGTCAAATGATTGCAAATGATCTGGAAGCATCTGGCATGCGTATGAATGCTGTGGTGCGGTGGCTGTTGGCTGACTCTTGTGGAATTCCATGGTTTCCAAACTGTCAGCTCTCCATGGTCCATTCTTGCCGGGCAAGCATGGACTCATATGCTCTCATAGTCTTTCCTGCGGCACATGCATGCGCAATGTGCAAGGTGTTTGACATCAAGCTTCTTCGACCTCAAAGGGGATGTTGCAGACCGCCCCATGTTCACCATCACCTGAAACTTGAGCCGTTCAAGGCCAAGGCAGATGTGTGGCACCAGCATCGGGAACGAGCCTCATTTAATGTTACGATACAAATCCCAATTGACCCCATGCCGCAGACTTAAGCCGTGAAACCGTACCTGTACCTACATGGCCATGGCTATCAACATTGCGCGCGAAACCGTCCCGAATCCAATTCGCGCAACCCAAAAACCGTGCGTCCCAACGTTTGTCGGCCGTCCGCACGAAAGCAGCAGGGCTGTACACCTGTACAGGGGCGAGGCTGCAGTCCATCGCGCGTGGAGCCGCGCTCTGCGCGGCTGGAGCTAGGCGCACCAAAGACCAAGCGAGGCCACGTGAGGACCAAGCTTGGGTGATGCCCCCCACAACTCAGACTCCAAGATACTGAGGTTGGGTCAAGTTGGGTCTCTGGCTTGCTCGTGGTTTCACTTGAGCATGGACATGCCTGAAACATCCAAACTGTGTCTTGTCGAAAAAAACGGTTGGTCGGTGGGGATGGTTCACCCAAGATGAAACACGAATCCGGAGCACTTCGAGTTCGTCGGTGCAAGTGTACTGCTGCACCTCTGCAGAGTTTCTTGCTTTCAGTCTCCAAAAGTCAAACACAAATCCCTTCCATCTCCATCTAATTAGCACTTTTGTGTATATCATCTCACCCTACCTAACTTCATGCCCTAGTCAGGAGCACTCCCTGAAAAATGCCCCCCTGTCACCGGAGGGAGCGCACGAAGGACTCCAAACTAGTCCGCTGGAGTTGCCTGCGCGTTTCCCCCCGCCGCACCAGGCGTACCGTACCGACGGGGACCACCAAGGAGGGAGGCGCTGCGGCGGGAGCAAAGGAACACGAACCCATATATCAAAGGTCACCCCCCAAAAAAAGGGCGGCTCCCTCCAACAAAACACGGAAGTGGAAGTCACCCGGACCATGCCATCCACTTCCATGACTGGAGGGAGGGCAAGGGATCCTCAAATAAGCCTCCAGTTGCCTGGAATCATCACAATGACGTGGATGAAATGCCCAAAGCACCGACACGGTGAACCATGAACCATATCATCAAGGTGGTCTCACTTCACTATCGACTTATCCGTTTTCGCGTTGTGGGTGCCTGTACTGGTGACTGATCTGTGTAGATTCTTGAATCAAAAACCATTGGACCTGGAGTGTAGAACCCCTTCATATGGCATTTTAGTCATCACCAGTCTACAGATTTGCACAGCTCGCGACACAATTGTTAGACTATGTGCTGACATGCAGGCGGGTGATCCAGAACAAGTTCGGGGCACGCCGCACGCCTCTCCTGGCTAAGACTAAAACGAAAAACGGTGCCAGCATCGGCATCAAGATCACATCCGCTCAACTAACACCAGGGAATTACAATGAATTACATAAATATTATATTATACGCATCCCTTCTATGGCCTGCACTCCTTCACACAAAAGCTGGAAGCAAAGCAGCGAGTTGCGAACCAAAGTCGTCCAGTACTAAGTACATAATTACCCGTATTGTCCGTATTGTCATTATCTAGACCAAAATTATATAGACTATAGACCACCAGACTCTCCGAGAAACGTGGCACGCCGAGTCTTCGCGGCGCCGCAAACAACGCGGAGGCCGCAAACAACGCGGAGGCCGTTCCGCCTGTCTTTCACCGCGTAGAAGTCCTCGGTCGTCGCCGTCGCTGATGTTTTCGTTTGGAATGGCCCATGGCGGTGGAGGTTGTTTGAGTCCCAAAGAGCCGCGGAAGCGGTGTCCGTCTCTTATGGCCTGCAAGTCGCAGAGAGTAAACACAAGAATGGGTGAATCCAGAGGAAAAAAGAATGACCTTGTTGCCAACTGCTCTTCCTATTGCTATTCAGACAAAGTTCCGTAACCATAAAAATGCCTTTTCGGAAAGCATGTTTTTTTCATGTAAAAAATGCCTTTTCAGAAAAGGCATTCTTTAAGGCATGCATATACTAGTTCTGGACCCATCCATGTCGATGCCTTCGACGTACGTCGCACCCGGAAATCCGGTGTGGCTCGGTGGAGCACACCAGCCGAGTCCACACCTGAACACCAAGCCGCGAAGCGTGTCGATCTGAGAAACAAAGTGTGTTTTTTCGATCTCTTGGCCCTGGCCTCTTGAAAAGGCAATTTCCAATACGCGTGTTGGGATGGCCTTTTACCTCGCCTCGCATCCTCAAAGTGGTCCCAAAGAGAGGACCAAGCGATGTACTTACAGTACTACAGTCTTCCACATGCCGTCAAGTAGATTCACTTGTATGACACGGTTGGGGCTCCAAGGTGGGCACTCTAGCCCGTGCGATCTGGAATCGAAAGACATTCTGGCTGGTAGAGTAGTCTATCACTGAGTCTATCATATCGATATGTCTCTTATCCACACCCTTTTCTCCAAGTGCTTTCTTCATCTTTAGACGCTTGAACACCCCAATCCATCTTGCCCGTCCACAAGGAGAACAGAGGTCGGCGAGATGCGGTCCACCATTCCGTCTCTCCGGCCTCTCCAGACTCGCCAAGGCTCACTGCAGACTTCCCTCAAGAGTCGTCGATCATGGCTGGTCACCACCACACTGCCCTCAAAGTCCTGACTCACAGGTTGCAGGGAATTGACCCTTCCAACCTTGCCGAACCACCATGGTTCTACTTAATGATTTGACTCCAAAACCAGGTCATTCATTTTGTTGAATGTTCTTGAGCCTTCGGCCCGAGACCTTCCAGTGGTAGGGCTGTTTTACGACCGAAGATCGGGGGGCGCGTTCCATGGAAACCGGACTGGGTGACGCGGTGGGCATGCGCTGGACTGGCGTTCTCCGCATTGAGCGGAGGGTCTCCCATGACCTTTGGCTTTGTGCACAGGTTCTCACAGGTACCTCATGCACCTTGGCCAGTTCCACCGAGTTAGGAGATGTTCGAACTACGATCTATGGAGCCTTGGTTGCGAGCGAGGGCGCGGGGTTTGCCCTTTCATGTGACCACGACACGAAGATCGTCCCTATCCCGCTATGCTCACCGATCCCCACATGTGCCAAAGAGGTCTGTAGTGGCTTGGCTAGCATGAGTTTGAGCGCTGCTGCACTTGGCATTGCACCGGTGGCTGCTATGGACATCAGCCCACTGGTGACGGCCCACTTGGACATGAATGGTCACCAGAATGTGATTCTTGGCGATGTGAATCATGATGCTGATTTGTATCGCATTCATTGCTGTGGCCCACCCTCAGGATGCCTGTGGCTTGCAGGCTTCCCGTGTCAGGCCTTCTCACGCCAGGGAGACCGAAGAGGTTTTGAAGACCGTCGTGCCTCCACCTTTTACGGGGTTCTGAAAGGAGCCTGGTACAACCAGGCAGCCATGGTCATGTTGGAGTGTGTTGCCGAGGTCAATCAATATGAGGAAATCCACGAAGGATTGCAAGCACTGGCTGCGGCCCTTGGACTTAGGCTGCTGACTAAGGTCCTATCGTTGGAACACACATGGCCTTGTCGCAGGACTCGATGGTGGGCTGTCCTGATTCCACCCCAGATGATGTTGACGCAGCTTCAACCTATGCCTTCCTTTGGCTATGACTCGGTGGACAAGATCATTCCCGTGTGGGGTCGCTGGGCACAGTCTGATGAAGCTCAGCTTGAACTGGATGGCCTTGAATTGCAGCTCTTGCATGATCCATCCATGGGACATGATCAGAGAGTCCTTCAGACATCCGGCTGCTGTGCAACGTTCCTACACTCGTATGGCAGCGCACTGGCACCTTGCCCATGTGGCTGTCGGTCAACAGGACTGAGCCCACAACGTCTTGCTCGTGGTGGTCTTCGTGGAGTCTACGTGCATTCATGAGCCTCCAACCTTCCTCGCTGGTTGCATCCCCGGGAGGTAGCTTTGTTGCAAACTTTGCCGCCTGATCTTCGCATTGCAGATGACCTGAAGGCGACTCTGGTGCTCCTTGGTCAGGTAGCGGCGCCTGCTCAGGCGCTTTGGGTTCTGGCGCAATGCTTCAGCTCTATGCTTGGTTCGACGGTGGTCCCTGAGCATGTATTGCGCTCTTATCTGGAACGACTTCGGCTTATGGCACATCATACCCTCCCTCAGCATGGGCCAGATGTTGTGATTCGACCACATGTTGGAGATACTGCGGATGCCGATCTCGTCTTCCTGACCTCCTCAGGCACATTGGTGAAGGATATGCGAGCAGCGATCAACCGCTGGGACTGCACCCAGGTACACTGGCTACACGACCAAGGTTACGTGGTGCCTGATCACGCATTCCTTCAGCACTCCGGACGAGCAGGCAAGTATGAGTTGGTTACAACGCCAGCAACAGCAAGTATGCCCTCGGCTACTCAGCTCATCAAGGTGACGGTCCAATGTGATTATGGTGACCTGCAAGCATTGTTGAAGGCTGGCAGCTTTGTCTTCCAAGCGTTCTGGCATTTGCGGCTCCAGGTGCAACCATGTCGATACTATGACAACCATGGCACCGTCTGGTTTGCTGATTCACGGGTGTGGGATGACCTTACCCTGATTGAGGTGCCTGTCCTTTCCATGGATTGCACTGAGCCCCTTGGATCTAGTCCTCCAGCCCCGACTCCTTTGGTTGATTGCGAGGCACTTCAAAGCTCCATCCAGCAAATCACTGCGGATAAGTTGCCACCTGGTGCATATTTGCTGCCGCTCAAAGAAAGCATGGCTCTTGCTCAGCCAGCGTATGTTCCTCCAGAGACCATCAGGCTGCTCGGTCACGGAGCCTCCATGATCATGGGCATCTTTCAGGGCTGCAACCATTGGGCCTACTTTGTGAGTTAGATCTGCATCAGAAGCATCCTTGCATTACTTTGATGGTTTGGCGCATCTGCTGCATCCTGAGATCAAGAACATTGCCTGCTGGGTCAAGCACCTGTGGGGAGCCCGTCATGTTGCTATTCACTATGACCGTTGCATCATTCAAACTCGAGAAGAGGTCAGTGCAGTGATCGCTCTCGGCCATCTGGCGTTGACGTGTGGACTACAGTGCATTCCTACCTGCGAACAGCTGGTGCAAGTCCACCAGGCTCTCCTTCCAGTCTCGCAAGGTACTGTCGAGGAGGAGGAGGTCATGGTCACATCAGTCGGCCTGGATATGGTCACCCTCCAAGAGGCTATGGAAGAGGTCATTGGCATTGCAGATGTACCAGTGTGTGCACCTCCGGTGGCCTTAGTTCATGCATGGATGCAAGGGGATGAAGATGCCTTGACCGACTATGTCACAGGCCACAAGCTTGATGTATATATCGTCACTAGCCTGTATGGTCTGTCTGACGCATCACTGGTTCCTTGTGGTGATGTCATGTACGGGTGACTGGCTGGATGTGGATTACTATGACGGCCTCACTCATTGCCATGAAGACAGGGTCCGAAGCCTTGCCACTTGGGCAGTTGAACAGTACAAGTTGAGGGGCTATGTCATGAACTACACCACGATGCATGTGCAAAAAGAGCCTGATCAATGTGGGGTAGTGGCATTGGCCAATTTGATGGGTGCTTTGCAAGTCAATCAGACCATGGCTCCCGTTGAGTTAGACCTTTGGCATGATCTTCTCATGGCTCGTAGTCGCGGTCGAGGAGGCCCACGCGGATGTGGGGGTGACTATGCCAACGTAGCTCCGCTACCATCAAGATTGGCTACGCTCCTTGAACAGAAGGGGGTCCCGGGGGACCGTTCCTCAGAGCGTGCATTGGCAGGCCTACAGGTGGTGGGAGAGGCTGCCGTTGAAGCTGCACTCGCTTCCAAGAACCCATGGGCTGAACTCAAACAGGTTGCATCCAAGCCTACCACTAGGTTCCTCTGGGTGAAGCATGATGAGCTCATGTTGCAGGTCCGCAACAAAGCAGCAGGACAGTTTGGTGTGGCAGCATCCAACAAGAGATCTGATCGGAAGAAATCACGAGCTGACCCAGGTCCGTTGACGCTGAACCCTGAACAGCTGATGGTCATGTCTGACCAATTTGTGGATGAAGCCGGTGATCCGGTGGCAGCCATTCCGTTCACTGAGGTCAAGAATCAGGCCCAAGGACTTGCTTTGGCCACACCTGCACAGGTCATTCCGTTTCTGGCCGAGGGGAAGTCCCTGAGTGTGGGGCCCTTGGCAGTGTTGACAGTTGGGGAAGTGCCACATGACCAGCATGGTCTACTACCTGTTGATGCTATTCGCTTCCCTGCCGAATATGTCGGCACCAAGGAGCCGATCCTGGTTCAGGGCTCATTGGTTCAGTTGGGGGACATCACAGTGACCCGCCTGCAGGACAATGTCAAACCTTCCATTGAATCCAATCGAACCTGTACACACCGCCTCACAGTCTTCCGTGATGAGTGGGAAGCCTCCGATCTTGGTTGGGATGAAGTATGTCGAGGCCCAGTTCGAGCCCTTTTTCATCGGCAGCCTGCCTTGACTCTCTGTCGAGGCACGGCCTGTGGAGGCCAATGTGCTAAGTACCATGCTCCGGTTGATGTTGATTGTGACAGCTTGATCACTGATCTTTGGGATCGTCGATGGAGCAAGAGTGATGGAGGAGGTCGAGTTCAACCAGACAAGGCCGCATGCTTCTCCATGCTCATCCGAGTCCTTCAGCCTGCAGATGACTGGATCCAAGAGATCTCGGGCAAGATTGGAATCTATGTTGAGCCACGACAGACGGATGGCAAGGGCCCTCGTGCTGACTTTGGGGTTATTTGGCTCCCTCAGGCCACACTCAGAGATGCTGAACACCGTCAGAAGACAGTCGAAGGAGTGGTTGCAATCACTCGATTGGGGCAACGCTATGGCCTGCGCTTCCAGGACTCAGCAATGGAGGAGGCATTCAAAATCCTTCGTCCAAAAGAAGAATACCACAAAGTGGCAGTTGACAAGATCTTCCTGATGTATCCTCTGCCTCACGGCACCACCCGACAAGGATTGCAAAAGAGCTTGAAAGAATGGGGATGGGATGCCAAACCCATGCAACCCACTCGAGGTGGCGCTGAAGGGGCAGGATGGCATGTTGGCAGTGCTCACGCGCCACCAAAGGTGGTGTTACAAAGTGCCCAAGGAGATGTGGTGGTCACACCGGTCCGCTCCATGCAGGTGACTCGAGAGCCCCCGCAGGTGCTGAGTTCCTTCAAGACCCGAGCACATCTGAAGACACATGCTGCCAGTAGCTCAAGTGGTGCGGTAGATCCTTGGGTTCAACATGGAGATCCATGGGCTTCGTTCAAGCCCACAGCGGTGACAACCACGGTGGCTGCACCTCAACAGCCGCCTGCAGTACAATCCAAGCTCAAGGAGGTGGAACATAAGCTGAGAGCAGATGTTCGGACAGCGGTTCGTCGTGAGTTGGAGGAGCAAGCTGCCTGTGAGGATGATGCCCGCATGCAGTCAGATTGGGATAGTGATGTACGCCTATGTCGATTGGAAACATCCATGACTGAGCTCAAAGCGCAAAGTGCCCGCTATGAACAATGGTTTGAACACAGCTCTCATGTTCAACATGAGCTTGGTGCGCGAGTAGACATGCTTGCCCAGGATCTTCGTGCTCAGAGGGAGGACATGCAAGCACTGGATGGTTCGATGCAGAAGCAATGTTCGGAAACCAAAGCCTCAGTGGCGCAAATCCGTGCTGATGTGGCCGAAAGCATGCAGAAGGGCTTTAATCAGATTGAAGCTATGCTGGCAAAACGACCCAGGGTTGCCAGCCAAAGCCCCCGTGAATGACTAGGCCGAACGAGGCCCCGAGGTCGATGCCCCTTGGGAGTGCTCGGTGGCAGACATGGCATCATGCTCAGAGTCGTGTGGCACCTGCTTGGATGGCTTTTGATACCCCAGGTTGATGCCCATTTGGGGATGGCTGAAGGATTGTCCGGTCCCTATGTTCAGAGTGCTTGTGGTGGCCCTGCATTGATACCTGACTCCTTCGCCAGCAATACAGTAGTTTGTGATGACCAGTTGGATGACACCGCATCGGCTGGCTCCTTTGCCCGGTTCTACTATGTCAGAACGGACGCGCCACCTGGTGCGTACTGTTTCCTTGGGTCGGGGAGCGGCCTTGTGAGTGTTCATTCACCTGCCTGGCAAGCCGATGTGCTTCGGTTTGGTGAAGCGACCCATCCGGGTCCGGTTTGGCGACCTGACGATCAATTCGCCCTTGGCACGATGAATCCCTCGGGCGTGCGAGGTAAGGAACATCAGATTCTGGACCTCCCTGAAGGTATATGGACAGTGGCTGAAACCCACATTAGCCTCCCACTGGCCCGGCCAGTTCTTGGTGAACTTCGTAGAACAGCTCAAGCCTGTGGTCGAGACAGCCGATTTTTGCTGGGTGCACCAGTACCATTGCGTACAGCATCTACCACCGCAGGGACTTGGAGCGGTGTCCTCCACATAGCTGACTGCCCCTCTCGTTCCGTTCAAGCGCAGTGGCCGCATGGGGAGTTCCAATCTGGACGTGTGGCTTTGGCCCAACATTGGTTGGGCGGCTTGAGCATTTCAGGTGCAGCAGTCTATGCCTGGTCACCTGGTCCGACATGGCCAGGAGCCAAAAAACTCACTGGGTGCCTCTTTGACACTCTCACAGATGTCATGGTGCATAACCGTCAGGGGTGCCGCTATGTGAGTGGAGATTTCAATTTGATGTTGGAGGAGATTCCCGCCATTGAGTACTGGCGAAGTCTTGGCTGGCGTGAAGTACAAGAATTGGACTGGATGCTGAACGGTGTCCCGGTCCGCCCAACATGCAAAGGGGCCACCCAAAAGGATTTTGTGCTGGTCTCTCCTGAGTTGGCCGCACTCTTCCATAGTGCTGAAGTTTTGCCGATATTTGCTGACCATTCAGCCGTGTTTGGCCGCTTCAAGATCCCCACCCATTCGGTCGCAAGTTGGGTCTGGCCTATGCCAGCTCGTACGGACTGGAAGCAAGTGGATGTAACGGGTTGGCAAGCTCAGTGGCAAGATCCGTCTCAAGTGCAGTTAGCTCAAGGTGATCACACACATCAGTTCCGCTGCTGGGCTCGTGATTTCGAGCGTAGCCTGAATGGTCATGTCACCACACCCAGCACACTCCCACCGAGTCAATGGCTGGGTAGAGGACGACATCTTCAACCCACTCAACGTCTCCAGCAAGCTCCACTATGCAGGCCATCTCGACAGGGTGACAAATGCTTGCGCTCGGATTTTGCTGCCCGCGGAGTTCAGTTGTGGTTCCGTCAACTGCGACGCCTTCAGGCTCTTCACCAAAACATGATGAAGAATGATCAGCATATCAATGCTGTCACGTACCGACTAGAGTGCTGGAGCTCTATTTTGCGTGGCAAGGGATTTGTTGGAGGCTTTGCACACTGGTGGCGGACACGCCGCATTAAGTTGCAAGGATCGCCAGAGACATTGGATGATTTAGTGCCGTCTCCGCCCATTGTGGCTCGCATGTTTGACGACTTCTCCCACAACTTCAGGCAATTTGAATCTTGGAACTGCAGGAAACAGCGGGAAATCAGTCGTGCTCGCTTGCAAGCTTTTCGCCACCAAGCTTTCCAGCGCATTCGCTCTCGCTCCAAAGACTATGTGGACACACTGGTTGAGAGCGCTGATGCGGAGATTCTTGCAGTCTCGGAGCAGGGAGACCAAATCCAACTTGAACATCCCCTTGGGAATACAATACATGACCACTTGTCCTGGTGGATTGATGACATGACCGAAATCCAGGTGGAGCATGTGTCTCATGACCTCTATCGAGTCACGGATGCTGACTGCATCATACAGGCTGGACAACTGCTGACTTGTAAGAGTTACTGCACAGAGGTTTCCACTATTCATCAAGCTCTCGGAGACTTTTGGCAACAACGATGGAGCAAACACACAGACGTCAAAGAATCAGAGTGGCAACGCATCCTTGCTTTTGGACGTGCCTTTTTGCCTCGGAAGCCCCTGCCTTATAGACCCCTAGATCTGACTACCTGGACTACAGCCAATGCCAGGTACACTGATCGGTCGGCGCGTGGAGCTGATGGATTCCATCCTCATGATTTGGTGGTTATGCCCCGAGCAAGCAGCATTGCTCCGACTTTTGCATTCGGTGGAGAACTCCTCCATGGGTTGGCCGCAACAACTGCTCACAGGCTTCACAGCCTGTCTGGCGAAAACTGATACAGCCGCGGCGGTATCGCAATTCCGTCCTCTGGTCATCTTCCCTGCTATTTATCGCAGCTGGGCTACAGCCAGAGCCCGACCTCTTTTGCGCCATATAGCTGAATTGGCCACGGACACTCAATTTGGCTTCATGCCTGGCAGGGAATGCCTGGAGATTACCTTCATGATCCAAGCCCTAGTGGAGATCATGTCGTTGAGCCAAGGTGACATGCAAGGCTTAGTCACTGATGTGCAGAAGGCCTTTGAGAACATCCCCAGAGTGCCGGTCTTGGCATTGACTCGACATATTGGAGCACCTCCTCCAATACTCCAAGCCTGGGAATCTTTCATGACTCACATGGAACGCAGATTCCAGGTGCGGGGCGCGACAGGTCCAGCACACACTTCCACAGCTGGTGTCCCGGAGGGATGCGCCCTTTCCTGTGTGGCGATGAGTGTTGTTGATCTTGCTTTCCACTACTACATGAAGGAGTTCGCCCCTAGGGTACTACCACTCTCCTTCGTGGACAACTTAGGCCTGCTGACAGCACAAGTGCGAGACCTGTTCCAGGGCACCGTTGTCATGCAAGAGTTCATGGCCATGTGGCGCTTAGACCTTGACCATCGCAAGACCTGGACCTGGTCCACCAAGCTGCATGACCACCATGACCTAAGCACACTTGGCTTTGAGGTGAAGACACATGCCTCTGATTTAGGTGCACAGTTGAGCTATACTGGCCGGCGTCACGTTGATCAGGTACAACAACGGATTGCAAGCCTAGGTCCGCTGTGGCCCAAGTTGCGTCGCATGGAGGCACCTGATGAACTCAAACGCCAACTCCTGGTTGCGGCATTCTGGCCACGTGCCCTGCATGGTACAGCAGTATGCCTCTTAGGCGCCTCTCATTTGGCGTCTTTGAGGACACAAGCAGTCCGAGCATTAGGACATGGACGGGCTGGTGCAGCCCCCCTTGTCCGACTGGCGATGTCTCCCAATTTGAAGAGTGACCCAGGCTACTATCATTTGCTCCTGGTGCTGGATAGCTTTAGGAGGATGGCGAGCAAACAAGACCAGCTGCTGCCGCTTTGGCAGGAGCATCATCGTCAGTTTCGTGGAAGCCTTAAAGCTGGCCCTTTCTCAAAACTGTATGAGGTGTTAGCACCGTTGCACTGGACGTTGCTGGAGCCACCATGGATTCAACCTCGTGGGGGACATGCATTTGATCTGCTGCAAATTCCTACATCGGTTTTGCATAAATTGCTGGAGACGGCATGGATGGAAGTGGTCAGTGCTTCCGTCCACCATCGGGCTGACTTCCAGGGCCTCACTGAAATTGATCGCCCTACCGTTCTCCGGGCCCAGCGACACTTAACACCACTTGCCGCAAGTCAGATCGTGGCTTTACAAGAGGGAGTGTTTTTAACTGGTCGGCAACAACAGCGCTTTGATCGGTTTCAAACTGGTTTGTGTCCATGGTGTGCAGTGCCTGATGACCTGGATCATCGCTGCACTTCGTGCCGCCCCTTGGCTGACATTAGAGCTAGCCATAGTGCCATCCTGCAAGACTGGCACACTTTGCCGGTTGCCTTTCGCCATCGTTTGCTGCCGGGACGATTTCCAGATTGGGAGCATTGGCAATGGTCACTTGGTGAACTCTCCATCCCATGTTTCGATTTCGCTTTTGCTGCTGATGTCACCGTGCCTTGGCATGACATTTTTACTGATGGTTCTTGCCTGCGCCCTGACCAACCTGAATGCTCCTTGGCAGCATGGGCTTGCGTGTCAGCTTCACAGGGCCGTTGCTTGGCTGCTGGACCGTTGCCGGGGCCCTGCCAATCGATTGATCGAAGCGAAACCATGGCTTTGGTAGCAGCGGTTACTTGGGCAGCTCGTGAGGGAGTTGCCATTTCACTCTGGGCTGACAGCGCCTATGCCATCACGGGCATGGTCCGACTTATTTCAGACCCCGGAGCCTTGCCGTATGACACCAACAGTGACTTGTGGCAAGAACTACAGAGCTTGGTTCAGAGTGGTGTCTCAGTGCAGTGCCAACATGTTGCAGCTCACCGTGAACCTAGCGATTGTTGGTCACCAGTTGATGACTGGACGCTTCGCTGGAATGAAGCTGCTGACAAGGCTGCGAAGGCCGCCCACCACATGAGGGCACCGGAAGTACTGGCCATGTGGCGCCGTTTGTGTGCACACCAAGACCACAACCTTCGTTTGCTGCAGCGGCTACAAGCCCTACATAGTGAGGTGGCTTCCAAGCGCCAAGCACTCCTGAGAGCGCCGTCTGAAGCTGAACCTGAAGCTGAGAGGCTGAATTCAGAGGATCTGGACAATCAGGTCCTGCCTGCGGGTGAGGAAGCATCATGGCTGGATGACTTGGCCCGTCTCCAGCTCTCCCCGAGCACGTTTGGTTTTGGTACCTTCGGACTGCAAATGATACAACATCTACTGCAGGTTGACACGTCACCGGACGTCTTTTTTGTAAGCTGGCTTGAACTTGCCATCTGGGCCTGGGATCGGTATAGAGGAATGATCCCCACTGTAGGACTCCACAAGAATGAATGGGTAGCCCCCTCCAATCCGCTCCACGACCCCGCATGCTGGTCAGGCTCCTCAAACTTTAGCGTCTATTCTTCGGTTTGTTCGTGATTGGATTCGATGTTTTGCTCGTACTTTGTCGCTGCCGGTGGTGGAGGTACGGGGATTAGATCTCACGTCTTGTGGAGTAGCGCCACCCCAAAATGGGCTGGCACTTCGATGGCCAAGGACGGTTGTGGTTCGAGTGCGGTTGTTACTTGGTGAGTTTTGTGGGCGTAGGCCCATCCGAACGGTTAATGATCTTACCAGGCCATTGAAGGCTACGTGGCTCCTCGACCGGTCTCACTAGCCGGTGGGGCACCAGACCCCGGACCCTATGCGGACTGTCCACCGCTGTTGCCGTGGACGCGCATGACTCGCAAGTGTGGACTGTTGAATGTTCTTGGGAGGCTAGGGTGGGTGGCCCATCAGCGGCCTACCAGCAGGGCTGAGCCCAATCACTGGTGATCACTTACACAAGTCCATCCAAGCATCTTCATAAACACAAACATGCCCCCGCTACTCCTCCCCACACTCCCATCTCCTTGAGGGCTGCTCCAAGGGCTTCGACGGTCTGAAGGTCTAGGTGATTGGTCGGCTCATCTAGCACCTCGTCCCGACTTCGCTCGCCGCGTCGCTCCGTGGCGCGTGGGTCCGGGCATCCGGACCAGCACGTGGGGCGCCCGGAGCGTGGCGGCCGCCAGCGCCACGCGGCTCCGCTCGCCGCCCGAGAGGCACCTGGGAGCGAAGACCCGGAGCGTGGGCGAGAAGGTGAAGGGAGCGGAGTGCGAACATGATCCACTCACTGAAGACATGACCTAAGCGATTCCCGTTTGGAACTGCTTTAAGGTAGCTCATCTTATACATGACTGAGTGACCTAGTGTGTCGCACCAGGCTATTCTTGTTGAAGGCTTGTGTCGCACCGGGCGGTCTGCGACGACAACCGCTCAGATGATCGAGGAGGTTAAAAACAAATCACGGTGCTTCAGGACTTTGGGATGGAGCCAATTAGGAGATCTTACGTATTCTTACGTCAATCTCTTGGGCTTTGACCCAAGACCATAGACTTATCGACAAACGTTTGAGATACCTTTTGCACTGCAAACGCCTTTTCGCGCATGGATTCCGATGACCTGCCAGTGATGCAGGACTTTGTCCAACACGCAGGGGCTGTAACCGCAACCAATCAGCTCCCCTCTGCGCAAATGCACGTGCACTTTCAGGTTGCGCCTGATGGGTTGCACCGCCAGGCGCCCTAGGCCGAAGCTGCCAAGATGAGCACGGACCTCCTGTTCTTTCAGGTTCGGCTGACCTCGCGGACACGTTGACGCGGCAGGCGTTGGTGGTCGTTTTCAGCTAAGTGGAGGATAGACCCAACTGCTTGGCTCCGCCCAACTCATTTCGAAGAGAAGGGGAGTCATCCATAGTCATCCCATCCTTCTGACCAACACAGACGTGCCACGCTCGCAAAGGGCCGCCAGGGGCGTTGCATCCACCGGCAGGTCATCCGCCTCATCTGGCCGGGGTTGGTGGTTTCATGCGTAAAATCCGCGCGTTGAGGTGTTTGATCCTTGCGCCCCCAACCTTAACCCAAAAATCACCAGAAAGTGTGAAAAGATCCACCATGTCCCAAAAGAAATCAGAAACACTTTTCGCCAGGGTCGGACCTGTGCCTTCATCCGCCATCCCTCCGTTTCGACCTCCGTTTCGACCTCCAGGGCTGAAACACGGTGCCTGGTGCTGATCGAAGAAGCCCACCACAACACCTGGAGCGAAGGATGAGCGACTGACTTCTGAGGATGGAATCAATTTATAAACATACCATGTGACAGTGTAGGGGGAAGGGGCTGTACCAACTCAACAGGTCAGCAGGCTACTTTGCATGAAAGACGTGCACATGAGACGTTTCATTCTGACTCTGCCTTCATTCGCTGTTCCACATACTTGATCAAGGATCCACTTCGGCACCGAGCGAAGCCACTGCATTCTGGACGGCATTTTGCTTGATTCAGAACCAATCGCCCCCATCGAAACCAAAAAAACCTCTCAAACGCCCGGACAGAGGTGCTCCTCTTGGGTGCCTTGATGTGCCTTGATATGCCTTGATGTGCCTTGTGAGGATTGATGAAACAGGATGGAGCAGCTTAGCATGGAAAAAACACCGACCTCCACCCGTCGGTCGTCGTCCGAAACTCCCGTCTGTCGTTTTTGTACCGGCTCCGCAGGCAGGGCACGGGGTTGCTGGTAGACTTCCCCCGCCAGCACCGGCAGCTGGTTGACCAAAGTTCGCAGCAACGTGGTCTTGCCACTGCCGTTCACCCCAAGAATTCCTAGAGCTGGGCGTGGCCCGTGTTGGTCCATGGTATTAGGTTATTAGGGTATGATTGGGATGGGGTCTAGAAAGGAGTCCATATGTCTGGCCATCCATTGTTGTGTCTTACAATCAACTGAACCTCCCCCCACTAACTAAAAGAATGCCCTGAGCTGTGAGTCCTATGCGGGACTGCGCGCGGACGTCCAGATCAAACTTCCTCACCAGCGGCGCTGTCTTGTCCTAGGATCAAAGGATCTGCCGATCTGCAGGAGCACAGTGAGGGATCCGCAGCCTTGTCAGTATGCAAACTGGATAGGTTCCATGAAGCCATCCTAATTGAAAATGGTTCCCAAAACAGAAGTGTAACTGTGAAGATATTGTGAGAAGCTTGGAGAGGCTCCAATTCATCGCCCCTGGAAGACTTGTCTGCTTGTTTTCATGCCGACAATGCCCACCGCAGTGAGAAAACTTGATAAACAGTTCAATGCTATTGTGACCCGAATTTGCATGGCAGGCGTATATAATGTTCTTGAGATTTCTTCAGCCTGCAGCAAGACAAGCCCAAAATGCGAGCTCCAACAGTCACACCACCTGCAGAAGTTCATCTTCCTCTTCCATGCCTCCACTTCCCACTTGCGCTACTCAACTTGGATGTCCTCCAAAGAATATCGTTAGCAACCCTGCCTGGCCCTGCTGCTAAAAGTTGAATGGAGTTGCCCCATCATCCTCTGGCCCGAAGCCAAGGTAGTGGACATGATTCACTCAAAATGAAAACGTTCCGTGCCATTGATGCTCCCAAACAATGGATGAGAAAGAACTCCATCCACCCGGATTTACTCGGATCCAAACACCTCAAAACGATCACCCCTATAGTACTCACCCCTAGCACTTCAAGCGCCACTCTGTGAACCAAAAACACGAGAAAGGCACGTCCGAGTGACGTGTTGAAGGGGTCGTTCTGCCATTTTCTTCGACCCACACAGTTCAACTCCTCTCCCGACCGCCTCCGAAAGCGCCTCCGAGAGCACCAAGGGGCATATCCCACCTGCACCTCTCGACACTGCAGCAGCGCGGCCTCGAAGGGCAGCGGCGCGGCCGCCTTCAACTTCAAGTGGACCGCCTGCTCCTGCGAAGGTTTTGGCTGCGAGAGTCATCCGGTGGTGTTACCAGCTGGGCCCTCAAGTCCCGTCCCAAGCGCAGCTTGACTCGACTCCCAGCTCGGTGCTCCTTGTTCTCAACGGTGGCCTGGCACCCACGCAACGAAAAGCGGGAAGTTGACATCTGCGTCGAGACAAAAGTGATTAAGAACATCTCCATGATCAAAGCATATCAACTCACCAGGGCCATTCGAAAGCATCCTCCAGCGCCGCTCCAATGGGAAGTCCCTGCAGACTTCGAGGTGCCTGCTCCATCGCTTCGAAGTGTGTGGCATAGCTGAACTTGAACTTGTGGCCTCAACTTGTCAACTTTGTCCCATGCAAATGGGCATCTTCAGGTGAACAAGCACGGTCTCTCTTCTAGGATGGGTGATGAGTCTAAGAGTCTAGGATTTGAGCGGGGGGGCTGCCAGTTAATTGACACAACTCCCTGGGACGAATGTGGGAAACGAACTCCTGATGGTTTGTTTCGTGACCTGCCCATGACTGGGTGGTGGCCTGTTCTTGATGCTCTAGCAACATCTGAAGGGACTGTTGGGTGGTTAATTCACCTTTCACAACCAAGTGACATCGTGCACTTCAGACCCTACAAAAAGATTCTATATAGTGACCAAGGCGACCCAATACTTTCTAGTCAGGGATTCTTTATCTTATATATCGACTTTTGGGGGGCACTCCTCCTACTTGGCCCTCAAAATCTGTACGCCGTCTGCCGGAAGGACCGTGTGGATCTGGCCTCCCGCGCGCTCCAGGCCCACGCGGTTGAAGGACCAGGGCTTGTCATCCAGGCCCATCTTGGTCCTTCGGCTGGCGACGGCCTGGCGCGGCGTGGCCACGGGCGCGGCGTGGCCAAGGGCGCGGCGTAAGTTTACGCTGCATCTTCCTTATGGACAGTGGGTCGTGCTTCACTGCGACACTCCTTGAAATCTTCATGGAAGTGGAGTGGAGTTCACCACCTGTGTATAAAGGAAAGGATGGAAAAGGGTCATCCGAAATCGGGGCCGTGCCATCCACTTCCATTTCGGGGAGTGCATGTCTTGCTTCAAACGCCCAAGACATTTGCTGATGGAGTAGAAAATCATCTATCTATGATTAAAACCCCTGGCCGGGCCCTTCCATCAATTCCAATTCATCCAAGACTTCTGTTGGAATCTTTACAGCCCGATTGCTCGGAAGAAAACTGACTGAGCAGGGCAGCCTTCAACAGGTTGTCGTTGTTGGTCTTCCTGCCCCGTTGTTCCATCTCCTTGATCTGCTTCTCCATCTTGTCCTCAAGAAGCATCCTTTGCTGAATGATTCTGGAACACCTTTTTAAAAACTTGAATACCACCACATGTTCATCAACGCTTGGTTTTCAAGAAGAGCTTCGTGGAAGTTCGAAGTTCCTTCCCGGAGCCCACAGAAAACCTATAGACCTATAGGCCCTCAACCTTTCCCAACAAATCCTCAAGCTCAGTGCACATTCAGTGCACATTCTCAACAAAACACTCCCCTCCGCGGGAAGTTCCGTCCTGCTTATCCTGCTGCCTCTCTGCCAGATCGGCACGGTGCTGCTGGTCTCGCTGATGCGCCTCCTCGAAGGCAGAGTAATTGCCTCAGACGTCCAACCCACCAAAGCCCGGCATGACATAAGGCAGCAGCAGCAGCAGCAGCAGTGGAAGTAGAAGTGGAAGTGGAAGTGGTGGCTTTGCAAAACGGTGATCCAAAAGGTATTCTGGCACCTGTCCCGATGGCTTGCCCATTGCTGAAATGGCTACCAAACTCGGTGGCTGTAGGTCCTTTCGTGATCCATCCCCGGTTGCCCGGGCAAGCGCAAGGTTGGCCCACGATCGATCGCGCCTGCATGGATTTGCAGCTTCATGTCAAACAGTCGCAGCGTTGTGGTACTGACCTGCCAGGTTGGCACAGCTGAACCTCTTCAGAAAAGGGACACCCTCCCTCAGTGGAGCTCACTGGCCACAGTGTTACGCCTCAAGACATGTACCGGATATGATATATATTTTCTAATACACGTGCCATGCCCCTCGCATCCACTCTTCCACAGAAAGCCGCAGAGATCTCCACAGTTCAACCATCGTCACAACCATCTCCCAGTCCATCGAAGCACCTCCCTTTCCGCCCTCCACCAAAAACAACCGAAGACGCCACCCTACCTTGGATCATCTGGGAACCTCCCCCCCAGTCGCGGTACCGCCCGCCGCGGTACCGCCGCCTTGTCGAGGAAGTCCCGGTCGTGCGAGACCACCACCAGCGCCACCTCTGAGAGCTCGTCCGAGATCAGGTATCCTCCGGTGCCCGGTGCCACGGTTCGGTCCCTGCTGGTGGGACTCGAACGGGCGGTCAAGTGGTCAACCAATCACTTGGCCTTGTATGGTTTTAGGAGTTGTTTTATGATGTTCATCGCTTCAAGGCCCCCAAAAAAGAACGGGCTCGAGGGGGGAAAAGACCAAATGTTCTACAGAAACTCGGTCAACAGAGTGCCGCGAGCCCAGCCAAGCATCGTTCGAGCCAAAGGATTGCTTCCCAATCCAGGTGGTTCGTAGGCTCGTCCAAGAGAAGCACCTGGGCTGGTCGCTAAGAAAAAGGAAAACGCCAAATCTTAAGACTTCCAAAACAGGTGAGAGGCGCATATTCATGTTAATTATGTTGTTTTGTAATCAGTTCTGTTCTGATTTTGGTATGGTCGCAGGTTATAAAATATGGCGTGAACCTGTGGTTGGCGTTTTTTGTACGGATTTTGTTTTGCTCATTTATGAAATTAATATGTAGTATGATATCCTTTTCCGAGGGATGGAGGAAGGTGCCTAAAGGCTACCAGAAGGCTTCTCCTGTGGGCCAAAGATGATGAGAAAGGTCCCTTGTAGGGTCGATGCGGCTCCTGGTGGCTGGACTGTGCCGCAAACATAAGAAAACCATATCAGCACCATAACCACAAATCGGATCAAAAGCGCAACAGCAAGTCATAGCCTAACACATTATCCTAACAAAGTATTGCACACAATTTTGCAGACGTGCCTCTGTCACTCACTGACAAGTCATAGTGCAAATCCATAGGATACTGAGACGACAACAACCACACCAACCAAACAACCAACACACAGGGTATTGAATGTGATTGAAGAATTTCTTTCCATACCCTGACAAGCACTCTCAGTGAGACACACCGCCGGCCCCCGCCACTCCCCACTCATCTCCACTGGTCTTGGCGCGTTGGGCTTGGCCAGCAGTGCCTTGGCCAAGGCCACCCGCATGCGCCAGCCGCCGCTGAGCAGCCGCGTGGGGCGTTGCAGGTCTGCCGTCACGAAGCCCAAGCCTTTCAACAAGACTTCAGCCTGGCCTGCACGACGCGCGGCGGTGTGGGCACGAAGGGCACGAACCTTCGACCGCATCGCGGAGTTGGGAGGGTGGAGGTCTGTACCAACATGCCGGCATAGGGGAGGGTGAAGCATTAGTGAAGCATGGCTTGGGTTGAAGGGAACCTGTTGGAAGCCTAATTTCAAGCAGTTCTCTCAAAACGGATTCTTTCCATGGAGAGAGTAAGGATCGCTAGGAGTTGGCCTGCCAGGATAAAGATTTGACAACTTGAATGGAACCCACCCTTCAAAGACATATGTATAAACATGTCCAAAGTCGAAGGGAAAAACGTTTGATATTCTCCAAATCCAAGCCATCAATGCTCCGGACATGCTCTGTTAAAGAAATCTCACGCCCTGCAAAATCAAATAATTACAAGCATCCACCCACGTTTTTTCCCCACCACGGGCCTCGCATGGCCTCGGCGCCTAAGCTCCTCAGCCGATCCCGGACGTCCGCCAGCAGCTGCACCGCCCGCGCCTCCTCCTCCGGCGCTGCAGCCAAGCCTTTGGGCTCGGCCAAGGCTGCGGCGGCCTCGGGCGTGGGGGGGGTGGGGGGAAGAAAGACCATCAGGAAAAGCTTACAAGATCTATAAGGCAGCCTAAAGAAAACTAATTAAGCTGGTGCAAGTGGGAAAGCTCGCTGGATCCGATCCCGTTCTTCCACGCAATCAGAGAACCCCCCAGAACCGCCGCTGTCGTGGTGATCGCTTGCCTGGCGTTCCTCGTCCTCCGCCAGCAGTAAGGCCTCGCGCGCGGCCTTTCCGCGCAAGCCACTGAGCTTGCTCTCATACCTTTCCGCGCGCGGAAGGGCATTTCGTGCGTTTCTTGTCCGGTGCGTTGCTGCATCAACTCACAGACAAAGGCACAGAATTGTAGACCCTTAGACGAAACTCAAAAGGCTGAAAACAAAGACTGGAAGATGGTGTTTGGTTTGTTTAGGCTCTGACAGATCGGCAGATCCGAACATCATCTTCCCAATTTTTTCTGCGTTTCTTCCCTGCTGTCAACATGTCGACTGAAGTGTAGTATTGGGGTGTGTTCCATTGTTCCATCATGTTCCATCGTGCTCTGCCAGATTGTGCAACTGCACTGCCGAATTGAAAACGTTTGGGATGCCACAATTAGGTGCTATCTTCCCATCTTGTCCGAGGGGCATCGTGGCTTTGAACAAGGCCCGCTTGGCCATCAAGTGCCGGTGCGACTGCAAAGCCTCCGAAACCGAGAAAATACTCACTGTGGCCGGACGCCTGGTGCCATGATGCTTTAAAAGCGAAGCTACAAGTGGGGAGAGCACTGACTATAGTCTCAAACTGAGGGTCCCTATGGTCCCTCAATCTCCACCCTTCACGTAGGTTGGCCGATTCTCCCTTCACTTCGGCTAGCCAACGATCGACCAAGCCTTCAGAGCATCCTGATCTGCCAGTGAGGCCTCCTCTTCCAGCAGTTCTCCTCAGACTCGGCGGCCACACGGCTGAAATGAATTTGGCAAAAGCTCCCACCATCCCACTGGGATTTGGCACTCCACGGAGTTGACACCTCTGTCGTTCCACGGAGCTGCGGAAGATGCGACCAACCCTACATCCTTCGCATCTGCGACGGCCATGCACTCTCTCTGGGTTCGTTCCCATGTCCGCTGGGCGCGTTGACACGTCTTTCGTTGGGCCCCGAACCCATTTTATGGAGCAGTCGTTCCCCTCTTGCGTGGCGTCAGGCTCCCAAAGCCATATGGCCAACATGTCTGTGGTATTCGGTGACTGATGAGTTCGGAGAGCCCGGCTCTCTCAGGTGGTCGGCGTATGAAATTATAAGCCTCAAGATGAGGGAGCGGGATGGAAAGTTCCATCAACTCGATGAGAGCTCACGATTGTCAAGCGGAATCCTTCCCTTCTGGGACACCCAAGTGTTAGCTACAGGCGTTTTTTGTTCGTGGGAGGTCTCCCTGTTTCACTGGTTCTGGAAGAGGTCTGGTATGAACAAAATGACATAGTGGATTCACTTTCAACTTGATAGTTGAAGCCCTGTCAAAATGGGCTTCAAACAAGTGAATAATCTATCTATACTCTAAAATTTGAGGCACAAACTACCCGGGTGAGCTAGTAAACCTGCACTGATCCCTACCAACACATGCTCGGAGTTTATGTCATCTGCCAGGTCAATCACCAATCGGCCGGAATGGACCCAGGGTCACTGCTCCAAGTTTTCAGGAAACCCCGAAGTCCTCAAGAAACTGCTTGCTAGGATCGTCCACACGATCCACCACTGAACGTTCTCCGGCCTATTCAAAGGCCCCACCTCTTCCACACCAGCTCCCACCAGCTCCAGCTCCACCCTCCATCACCCTCCTCCAAGCAGCCCAGCTCTTGGTGTGCGGACAGCACCGTCTCCACCGCGGAGCGCTCGTCTCCCACGTCCTCTTGGTCCACGAGCAGCGTCACGCAGTTCGGTGGGTAGCCGGGGATCCGCCTAGACGCCATGGACCTGAAGCAGAGGGAGGACGTGAATAGGCCAAAAGAAGAGAGGGGGACTTGAAGGTTTCAGCCTCCACAACTGCATCTTGAATTGACCCTATTAATATATACTGATACTCGAATTATCTCGAATTAGTCCAATGATTCAGTGACTTGTCATGCCACAATGCCACGACGCCGCCTGAAGAGCGTGGACTTGCCGCAGCCATTGCGGCCCACGAAGCCATAGCGCTGCCCAGGACACAGCTTCAGGTGGGCGTCCTCGCGCTGTGCGCGCTGCTCCGGGCCATCGCTAGCAGGCTGGAGGCCATCGCTAGTAGGTTGGAGGCCGTTTCTACTAGTAACAAGCAGCTCCGAACGTAGCTTTCGGACGCTATTAATAGGTGGAGGCCCCTCGCGGTTGGAGATGTCTCGGTCGGTCGGTCAGAAGGTCGGTGGTGTCCGAGAAGCGGTCGTCACCGTTGTCAGGCTGGACGGAGAAGCGGTCGATGGGGTCCATGGGGTCTCCTCATGTGGTCCAAAAGCACCTCGGCCTTGAAGTTCAGAGATGTTCGGGCCAGTCAAGCTGCTCAGTTCTTCTTGCTTCAAACACTCTCCAGCGAAATGTCCCGAAGGAGGGTGAGCGCATGCCCCAAATCACTTACTCTGAGCGGCGCTCTGGTGTCGGGTCTTGTTTGCGTGAGTTCATCAGGAAATGCATCTTTAATGTGTCCACCGCTCCTTCAGAAATATGGACACCACCACACGTGCCCATTCATTGTATGCCAGGCAAGTGTTGGTGACGGCGATGCTTCCTGGAGAGTGAGCTATCGTTTCTCCCCGAGCCTTTCAAATCATGGCGGCTCGATTTGATTCCAAAAAGTTCCTTCTGCTCCAAAGCAACTCCCTACCAGTCTTGGGGGCAGTCACTCACCAACGGTCGGCACCTATCATCCATCCTATCATATCTATCATCCAGAAACCCATGTTCTGAAGCACCGTTCTCAGCTCGTCACGTCCCAGACCGCGTCTTGCGAACGAACGCCATCCTTGAGCAGGTCCCTTCCGGCGACAGAGATGCAAAGGTCATGAACGTCCACCTGTGTGAAACAGGCCGGCCGAGTGGTCGAACACCCCGGTCGCACACAAAGGAAATATATACCTTCACCCCAGTTCGGGTTGAAGTTTCAACGTGAGATGCAAATAAGTATTGTTTTCATGATTTTGGTCGAATTTACACGTCTGAACGGATATTCTCATGTTTTACGGAAATTATCGTCCGTAGACTGTGGGCTGTTCATTGGTCCAAACTATCATGCAAATTCACGCCAACTCATCATCCAGAATATTATACTCAAATCTTGGAGGTCAGGATAAACCCTTCAAACACGCCAACAAACATTAACAAACCCTTGAACCTTCACCCATTAATGCTTTGGATATATAGGGGTCCTTCCATCCCGAGAACTCCACTGTCTTTTTCCGCTGCCCTCCCCCACAACTATAGTGGTATCACGACTATAGTATTCCCCTACCAGCCTTTCAATACATTCGATTTGGAGATCTACCTTGTCTATCTATATGGAGGCATGACTACATTGGCTATAATATTGATCTTCTTGCGTTAGTCAGTTGGGGGATTACATGGAAAAAAACAATGCAGAAACCCTTGAACATGTTTCAATACTTCCGTCAGAAACCCAATGTTTTTGTGGATGAAGTCGCAGCCGGCGGCGAAGGCGTGGCGAACGTGGGGGACGAGGACTCCACCAATGATGGGCTATATACTGTGTGCAACTCAACACGCGACGACCTGTTTCAGTTCGCATTTCAGCTGCAAAACACCAACACCTGGCACGCGTTCCGCGGCTGAACAACCCTTGTCTTGAGGGACTTCCCAAACACCACACCATGACACCCACCGGTCCGCATCGGCCTCGGCCTCCCCCTCCTTCCCGCCTCGGCGATCGCCGCGCTGATCTCGTCCTCCACGGCTTCGCGGTGGAACCGGGAGACGCGCGCCTTCACCTGCCCGGTTGGAGCAGGGCCAGGCTCCAGCAAGTGAAGCCAGGGTCAGCGCAAGCCAGCAGGGTTCTTGCTTTTTGTGGTCTTGTTTGCAGGCTTGAGTTTGATTGTGGATTGGTGTGCCCGACATGAGCCACAAACAAAGGGTCAAATGAGCAGGAAGCCTCTGGTAAATAAAGATGAAGTCTGATGAAGTAAAGTAATTACCCAAATTCACAAGAATGAACGGGTGCCAAATGGATCAAAATGATATTATGCTCCAATTCTTCAACAAACCCATTCAGCATGATGAACTGCTGCTAGCGCTCTTGGGGTGCTCTTCGGAGCGCTCCCAAGAGTCTTCAGCCGAAAACAGCGTTAAGGGGTTGAAGCACCCTGCTTCGTTACAGAGACCTCTCCCAAACCGCTCGGCCTTGTTCTCGTTTTGGCTTCCTCGTTGGCCCGCGAACCACCAAAAGCCTTGTCTTAATTGCAAGTCGAACTGGGGGGCAAGACCACTCGCAACTCCCAAACCCTGCCGATGGGGTCCCTCCCTCCAGTCCATGAGTGCCAGTTCGCGCGGAGCAGACCGGATGAGCGCGGACGAGTCCGGGCGGACGGCGCACCTCCACCAAGGACTCCCAGGGTGCCGGTTCTGCAGTGCTTTTCAGGTCCTTCGCCTCAATCGATGTGTCGAAGGCTGGTTCGGTGTATCACCAAGGCTTGGCCGGCTTGGCGATGGCGTCATGCGAGCGATGAAGCACCGGTCTACCGTCTGGGCATCCGAGCTTTCCAACTTCAAATGTTCTTTAAAGGATTCTAAAGGTATCGTTTGGATTCTTTTGGTATGAGCCCATCACATTATGGTGTTCATTCGCAGGGCGGAACGAACACCGTCAGCGGCCTCCTTCGCCTTCTTCTTCGCACGGCCCTTCACCTTGCTCTTGGCCCCTTGGTCGCGTAGAGCTTTCCACACAGTGATCTGATGAAGGTTCTTTGAGGAGACTGTGGAGGGATGTGCAGGGTATTGAAATGGAACCGGGAACATTGCACAAGGGCCATACATGGCCATACTAGACCCCTGTGATAAAAGCCGTTGACTGTGCCAACCTTTGGAAGATCGGAAGAAATTGCTAGAGTACAACACCAGCAGCCTGGCGCTTCCTGCGACAGAAATCACAGGTGCCGGACCCTCCTCCTCCACCGGCTCCATCGGCTCCTGAAGAAGTTCATCGACCAAAAACGACGGGCACCGGCGCCATCTGGTGGGACCAGTGGTGGAGGGCTGCCTGGCCAGTGAGCGATGGCCTCCACCCTACTAGCGATGGCCTCGACTTTAAGAGCAATCGCCTCCACCCTGCTCGTAGGCCCCAGTGAGGGCTCGCGTCGGATGGCCTTTCGAGAATCTGGGGTGGAGCTTCTCAATTAATGTACTGTATATATAGTTGTCAGTAGCTCATTGATACCAAAGGGGCCCAGACTTTCAGAGTGTGACAAGTTGGGCTAATGAGGGAAGGGTTCTTGAAGTGCTTTGAATGTCAGTAACCTGTAGATGCCTGTAGATTCCTGCAAGCTTTGCTTCTTTGCTCCACCCCTTGCTTATCCTTGCAGGCTAAAGGGCAGAAGAGCTTCACCTGTCGATCAAATTGCAGGTGGAGCTTGACAGTCGGCCGGCAGAGCCCCAAAACCACTGGGTTGTAAAGGAAAATTGGCTGAAACCACTGGTCGATTCTTGGGCTCCATGTTAGTTTGCTGGAGTGTAGCAGGTGTCTGCTGCAGCACGGAAACGCACTTTCTACCGTCTTTCACGCTCCTCCGTCTGCGTGAGCCCAGTGGGATACCCAAGACCTGAAGCCAGCACGTCCAGATGGGGAGGGGGGGCAGTTACCAGCTTGAGAAACATGGGCCCCCTTGACCTGCCAGCTACGAGCTCCATCGGATCGGCCCACATGGTCTCCCCCGAGAAAACTCCTTCCGGTCACCGCTGAAACAAGGAAAAACGGCTCGTTTTCGGGCCGAATCGGGCCGAACGGGGGTGTTTTTGGGTCGTGGCCTGCCAAAAGGAGGCCTTGGTCTGTGTAAACATGCCTTCACGTAGCTCGGTCTCCCCACAGTGGCGCGCTGGTGCCGGCGGCACGGGTTCCGGCGCCGCGGGTTCCGGAGCAGTCAGGTTCAGCGCGGCGCAGAGGCGCTGGAGGCCGCTGGCTTCGGCCTGGTGACGGGGGAGGCACCTGGTTTACATTGGATCCACTGCTAGGGTTGGAAAGAGAAGAAGCGATGGAATAGGACACCTAGAAACTATAGTAGCAGAAACACGGGTGGCGCAACTCGAAAGATGCCGTCCTATCTCGTCACTACCCGTCCGGAGCATCAAACATGTCCCCAAAGGTGGTAGTGAGATATAGTGAGACCACTAGTGAGACCTCAAGGACTCGCCTGAGAAACAACAGAAATGCTGTACTTGCAAACGTCACCTGTGATGGCATGGCTCTTCTCAAGAGTCCATCCCTCCGTCCATCCCTCCCTCCCTCCCTCCCTCCCTCCGTCCATCCATCCATCCATCCATCCATCCATCCATATCTGTCTTTCTTTGCAGACTTGGACTGAACATGAACAGGACATCAGTCTCAAAACAGGGTGGCCGCGCAAAGACCGCGATAAGAGACAACAAACAAACCATAAAGCGGCACATACTGATGATGGACCAAGTCCATTATGCTCTTTCTCTGTGGGCAATTTGTGGATACTCGGATATATATACTCGGAATGCGGTCATTGACAAAGGAACCTGCCCATACATGGAGCTCCGCTGCCTCTCGTAGATCGACTCAGCTGTCCACCCAACTCTCCGAATCTCCAAGGGCCCTCGGGCCCAGGAGGAACCAAAAATGCCCTCGTCCACTGCCTCATCCAACCAACCTTCGCAACATTCTCGGACCTCCTCCTGGAGCCGAGAAATGACCAAACAATGCAACGCTGAATTTCACAAACTGCGTGAAAGGACAGAGTGAGCAAGCAAATACAACTCTTTAGCTGCTCCATGCCGGGCCATAGCCATAGCCTTCATTTTCCCTCCCAAAACGTCGTCAACACCGGCAACGTGTCACCTCAGTGGTGGCATCTGCCAGTGCGGCGGATAAGTAGCTCACCACGCTGTCCTCGTGGGGATGGGAGATGCGAGGCGAAACCGAAAAAAGAAATCCAGAGAGGAAGTCTACTTTCTCAGATCCTTGATGAAGGATTCTGAAAAATTCGGAAAAAGAACTCATGATTTCCTTGTTGGCCTCTCCTGGAGGAATTCCAATGAGAGCCTTTTGATGTCCTCGTCTCCTTGATTAACCGACATGGTCAAACATAGTGAAACATCAAACGCGAAAGTGTATAAGAATCAGCACCTAGCAGTTAAGCTAAGGGTTCATCCCCCATCGCCAGTTCATCCCCATCGTGGTCCACTTAGGGTTTGTCATGTCTCCCAACATGTCGGTGGCACGGAAGACCTTCCGAAGCTACACTCCTTTCAGCTTCACATCTAGAGAATCAATTGAAAAGCTCAAAAGGCTCCAAAACACGTATTTGGACACTTGAATTTGTTTGGTGTTTCACCATGTTTGACCATGTCCTCGTCTCCTTGTGGAATAACCTCCCAGTTCCCTCACTTGTTCTTGCATTGTCGACCAGACCTTGAGGAGTACAGAAGAGCTTGACTGGCGCTGGAAGTGGTGCGTCGTTCAAATTGAAGTGGCGCTGACGCAGAAGTGGATGGCCAACCTCTTTACACAGCAGCTTTACACCAATCGCAGTTCATCCGGTGTTGGTGGCCAGCCGTGCTCACACCCCGTGCTGTGGCGCTCGGCCCGTTTCACCAGCCGTGCGAAGCCGCACGACGTCCGCTTCCGGACACCGCGTCGCGACCTGTGACCAGCGCACCTCGGCGTGGGGCGCCAGCTCCCGAAGCAGCATCTCCAACATGGGAAGCGCGGGGGGGTGGAGCACCCGGGCCACCCGCCGTTTCACGCACCCGGCGGCAGGCGGGGGGCTGTTGGTCTGGGGGTGGGGAAGGGCTTGGGGTGTCGGGGGGGTTGGGATTGGGGGTTGGGATGGGAGGTGAAGGGTTGTGAAGGATGGTGAAGGGGTGTGTCTGGTTTGAGGGTTCCTGCTGAGTGTGTCTGGTGAGGAGCGGGAGGTGAGGTCGGAAGACACATGGTGAGTTCCCTTCGGTGCGCTTTGGTGTTCAGTTGTGCTACTTACTTGCGCACCGGGTTCCAGTGCGCCGAACATGAGCAGCTTTGCGGCAGGTTCACGCACCGAACATGCGCGTAGAATCAATCGGACGGATCAGAAAGCGTTGGGCATTAGCTTAGCCACTCTCTGAAAGCAACAGCGAGACAAAGGAGCAAACACAAAAAACTAACTGCTCCCCAAACAGGCACCCGGCCTTCTAGGTGCGCAGACGATGTGGTGGGTGTCCCCATGCCCATCCTCAACCAACCCACATTGGAAAATCCTGACAACCCTTCATATTGGTTTCAGCTCTCTGTAGGCACAGAAGAATGGTGGCACCAATCCTCAACAGAAGCACATCAGAAACACCTTGCGCATCTCTGCCAGATTTGGCCCCAAAAAACAATCACATCCCTCGCAAGGTCTTTTTTGCGGGTACCAGATCTCTTATGCTTCGATCTAAGCCTCAAGTCATTTCATGCTGGACCTTGGGAGTCCGTTTCGGGCAATCGTTTTGGTAAGATCCCAGCTGCTTTGCCCAGGCTCACAGCTCAACATGCGAACGCCTCCACATTCGGGATCCTGCGCTTTTGGGTTGACCTCAGGAAGAGTGCCAATAAACACCTAGGACCTGCTTGGCCTGAACTGGAGTGCTCTGCTTCCGAAAGAATCCTGCTTCCGAAATCGAGCGAATGTCCACTTCTGGTCGAGACTTGCAGGGCCAACGGCTGGGCAGGCAGGCAGTTGGGCCAACGGGGCGTCGGGGAACGCCGGTCTCTGCTGAGGCCTGTGCGATGTGGGCGGCCGGCCGCCTAGCGGTGCCAAGCGCGTCAAGCTGCGTGTCAAGCGTTCTGCCGCTGTGAGCGCGAAGGAAGTCTTCGAGGGATTTCTGCGAGGTCGTGACTCTTGGAATATTGGGCAACTGACTGGGCAACCATGCATACTGCCTTTCTGGGGGAAGCCCGGCGGGTCGTCTAGTGTTCTTGGATCACATAGGAGTTAAGGCTCCAAGCCGAGAAATCTTGACGACAATACACAACTAGGGTCCCCCTGTTTTGACCCACTGCCATCAAGACTCACAGGGTGGAGCCAACTGGTGCAGCAACCTCGTGGGCCTGGCTAAACGCTTGGCGAGCTCAGATCGTGCTTTGATTAATGGTCGACTCTGACGACTCTTGGCGGGACACTTGTACAAGCCCGACATGGGAGATTAGATTGGTCGGTGAAGTCTGTAATTAGGTTGCAAGCACGAACCTGAGGCGACTGCGTGAACCAAGTGCCAGCGACCATGAGGGACCTTTTTTGGCGAAGCAGAATCAGATAGGACGTGGGTACCCATTGCCCATGCACACCATCCAACAGCAAACAATCCTTTCCATGTTCCCGCAACCGTCTCAGTCAGCTAGCTGGTTTCTTTTTCGACTCAACGCGTCATGCATCCTAACGAATGAACCCCAGCGATCCAGTATGAAAATAGGATGCATATTTTGGGCGCGTCCTGCGTGTCCAAGCTGAGCATGATAGTGTCGACATCGTAACCTTTGATTTTTGCAAGTGTTTCATGCGGGTACGTCCTGCACGTCCTGCGCGGGCCCCTCTTGTGACTTGGTCCTTTTTGCTTGTGGTCCTTCTCCGGTTGGTTTGTGGAGCGGCCAAATCGCCAAGAAACCTGCATGGTGTTGCATAAAAATCTGCGATCCTGTGTGTTCGCTCCTATCGGTACGCAGGGTGTTGGCAGTTCAATGTGCAGCATGTCTTATGGTCTTGCAGGGTGTTCACACTGCGCGACATCTCTAATTGATCTCCACATGAACATCCATGAGGTGCAAGCATGCTTATGACTACCTGGCAAAGCAAATATGACAAAATGGATATGGATATGTGTAATATTACATCACTTGGGTGTATCTATATGGCAAGCTATATGGCAAAGTGGATTGCCCAAGCAGATACGGCAAAATGGATTTGTGTAAACATTCCAAGTGGTCCAAGCGAAAACGAATGCTTCGTGCTTACACCGAGGTGTCTTTTTCGTGCCCTGACGGCACGGCTCGTGACGCCACTAGAGCTGAAGCCCAGCCGTCTGGCCGCAGGTTTGTTCTTGGTTCTTTCGTCCAGTTCGAAGGAGCATCAAACATGTGGAGCAGCTGGATGAGCCTGGAAGTCAGCCTGGTAACACTGGATGCAGTGGGACGTCAGCAACATGAGCGCGGCGAAGTCACGAAACCTCATGAGCTGGGTGTTACGGGTCGTGACGGGTCGTGACGCTGCGAGGCTCAGGGACTTCGGAGTGAAGAAAGGGCGAAGTTCGGCCGCGGCGACTGGTGTCGACCAAGGCTCCGGGTGTTCCACCAAGGCTCGCGGCTTCTCTCTCCGGCATTGTGCATCACACTGGCCCCAGGCTGTGCCACAGGCTCAGCCACATGCGCTGGATCTCGCTGATGATGTCACTTGATCCATCGAGGAATGCGATCAAAGGGTTCTTGGCCGCGGACGCCTCCTCTGCTCGGCTTCTGCGTCGGCCCGTTGAGGGACGACAGATCAGTGATCGCAAGCAGGAAGCGAACGGCTCAGGGTCGTACTTGGCATACTTTGTGGACCAGTGGTTTTATCCTGCGGATGCACAGGAGGCGAGGCTGCAAGCTTGCTCATCCGCCACATCTGTGCTCGCTGCTTTGTCTCTAAATGTCTTTTGGCATGGGAGGCTGCCAAGTATGGCTGGCGATGCTTTTTGTTGCGGCTGTCCTGCGTGCGAATTCGCGCTTTCTTCCCCCATGCCTTTTCGTGAGCCTGGGTGTTGATTCTGCATGTTTTCTCTTGATGATCTTCTCTGCGGCGCTGGAAGTTCCTAGCTCCTAAGTGGGCTGGCCAGCTGCTAGTGTTGTTCATAAGCATGTTTTTCTCACAGTATTTTGCCAACAGGGTGATGGGGGCGGATATTCTTCCAAAGGAGGTATAGATGAATTGTCCAACATTAAATCGGATCTGAATGCGCAGAGCCCGCTGTCGATGTCGAGAAAACCTCGCCATCACGTTCGATCACCTCGCCATCAGTGTCCTGCCGGACCATCTTGGTGCTGGTTCTGACCGGGTAGACCATTACTCTTTGACATCTTACTTTCCGTTGACGCTGCACACTGACATGTAAGAGCAACTCGCCAACCTACCCAAGTTCAACCGTCTATGGCTTACTCAACTCCCAGGTTCAGAGGTTCAGGTTGCTGCATACCGAACCTGCCACCACCGCTGCGTATGGCATCGACGTCACGTCACCGTCATGTCTTCTCCTTGGACGGTCGAGGTTTCATCCGGTCCAATTCGAAGAGACGTTCGTGTCAATGGTGGGATCATGGTATCGAATTTCAGGGCGAAGAGGATGAAGCTCTCTGTGCTTTCTCGGTTTTTGTGGCACTCCGTCAGAATTTGAGGTGCAATCCAAGCAGGGAAGCATCACAAACAGTATCCCAAAAAGAGATACATGTGCTACCGGTGGTTGAAACTAGAAAAGCGAAACTCGCTCCTGGCATGACTCCCCTAGTAGCTCGGAAGTCCCAACAAAACCTTGCAACGAAAAAGTGTTGCAAACAATTGGCAAACAGCACACACACAGACATTGAGGCAGAGGGATGCTCCCGCGGCAAGACCACATGACTGACCAGGACGAATGGAGGCCACACGCTACGCCATGGTACGCCCAATCTATGACCAAGTCTAGCTGCTTGATGCGAGTAGGCTAAAGCAAATCGTTATCGTATGTGTTCAAAGGTCGTGTGATCGTGAAAGTCTTTCATCTTTCTTAGCGAGAATGCCTGCTCATTGGCCTTAGCGAGAGGGCACGTAGGGGGTTGAACATGGTTGAACCACGTTCCTCCTTTGTCAGCAAAAGACTTTGTGACACCTCCATGGATGCAGATGGCACCCTCGGTCGGCTGCGACCGCCCGATCTCGGGCGCTCGCAGCTCGACGACCGAGCACCTCGACCACCGAGGTACTCGGATCACATCGGTCGAGGACGCCGCCCCGGTGGAAGTGATGCAAGCCCTGTAGCAACCTGAAACGGCGGAGTAGTGGGTTCTCAGATGCTACCTATTGAAGCAATGTTGAGTTCACTTTGTGGAGAAGCTCTTTCATGGGCACGCGCACCCCGCGGGCAATGACATGAGCATGACATGTGGAAAAATGCCTCGTGTCCACGCAATGACGCAGTGGCAAGTCCATGCCGCCGCACCCCCCCGGCGGGCTTTGCGTATGCCCCGCCCGGCGGGCTTTCTGGAGGATCGAGGCCGGTGAAAAGGTCAAAAGTGATTGCGTGATGGCAACCGTGATGGCACCCCACAGCAATCAAGCTGTGCAGTCCACCATCGTGGAGACACCGAACAATGGCGGCCGACATGTGGAGAAGCAAAAGTGTTTGATCGTCAGCAATGCACGGTCCGAACGAAAGAAATGACAAAGAACCGAATGCCGCACCGATTGTTTCCCAATAAAGCAGGTTCTTGGTTATCAACAATTTTGCACGGTTCAATGCAACTTGGGTGAAACTTTGGCACCAATGGTCTAAAAAAGAAACAGGGGATATGATTGACCCCCGCCCGTCTGTGACGGTGCTTCTAAAGCAGTCGGCGCCATGTTTCAGCAGGATTATAAGGGTTTGTCGGCTGGCCTTGGCTACGCCCGGTTTTGCTAGCATTTGCATGATGAGATCAGGGTTTGCACACGTACACGATCGAACACGCGAGATGGGAATGGTGAATTTGCGGCGTCGTTTTCGTCCTTACTGAAGATCCGACAGGGCGAGTAGCGAAGGAAGACACTTCGACGCAGAGTCAGGTCAGGTCTCT